CCCGCACTCATGTTCATTCTGTTCAGATCTAAAATGTTTCCTCTGTATATTTCTATGACATTGTACTGCTCGGTCGCACTAACGATTAGCATGTCCCTTTAGGAGTGATATGGCAGAAGGAACGATGCAAGGTAGCTGAGGACAGCTTTTATGAAGCGGGCAAGCGATACAGTAACTCGAGTCTTTCAATGGGAGGCTCCGGGTTCTGAGACGTTATCCATTAGTCCCAAGAAACCTATCTCATCTCGTGGTGTGAAACTGGTCATTCCGCAACCTATTACTGTTTCTATTGTCACAAATAAAGTTTTCTGGAAAGCTATCCATGTTCTGACAACTTGCTTGATTTTCCACCGACTGTACAGTACACGACAATGGACACTGAAGGGTTGATGGGTTGCGGGATGACTGTTTACCCATACATGCTGTTCGTTCTATACCTTAGAAATACAGCTTCGAACGGTCGCAGTTATCGAACCCTTCCTTCACTGGCTGGGGCTGTGCAAGAGTGCCCTCTAGAAACAGATTTTCTATCATAATAATTATTCAAAATACCGGCTGGCAACTCGTAATTTTACAGAAGACCAATGGTGTTTATGAACCTTTACTTCCGAAAACACGACAGAGGGCAAGTGAAGCAGAGAATACCCAGTGAAATGAACTGAGAAATATTTATCATTCAGCAGGTAGTGTTGTTAAAGCGCAGGTCTCGCAGGTTAGATAGCTAAACGCAATCATGAGCGTTATTTCTAGTTGCAGTCAGCATGAAACGAGCTCTAAGTCATTGAAAGTGTGAGTAATTGGCTCCTAATCGTATCAGTTATGATATATATAATATTTTAGAAGCTGACGGTATCGACGTTCGCGAATTGTACAGCGTATACTAACCCTCAGACGCGAAGCTAGCAACCCCACCCTGTAAACAAAGCTGCTACAGAAACTCCAGCACGATGAATCTCCTTGCACCAAAAGAAAAAGTCTGTGTGGGGACATGGAACGTCCGCAACATGTATGAGATTGGCAAAGCTGCCCAGATCGCAAACGAAATGAAAAGATACGGAATTCAAGTACTGGGAATATTTGAAAGCAGATGGAACGGGAATGGACTCACCAAATTGTTGACGGGTGAGTCAGTGATCTACTCCGGTCACCCAGAAGATAACCACTCGCACACCGAGGGCGTGGCTATCATGATGTCACCAGCGGTAACGAAGGCCCTGATGCAATGGGAGGCGATCTCGCCCAGGATAATGACCGCCAGATTCAACTGCAAAGGAAGGGAAGTGTCAGTAATACAATTCCATGAACCCACAAACAACGCAGATCTCGAGAAGAAAGAAGAGTTTTACAGACAACTACAGGCAACAATGGTGACATTAAAATACTAATGGGAGGCATGAACGCCAAACTGGGACCAGACAACAAGGGAAGGGAATGGGTGAAAATGGAGAACTCTTTGCCGACTTCTGAACCTTCAATGAACTAGTGATTGGAGGCAGCGTATACAAACACAAGGAAATCCACAAGGCTATATGGGTGTCACCAGATGGGCGAACCAAAAACCAAATTGACTTAATCTCAATCTCAAGGGAGTGGAGGCGCAGCCTGCTAGACACAAAAGTAAGGAAAGCAGCAGACGTTGGCATAGACCACTACCTCGTACAAGGGACAATCCAAATCAAATTAAAAGCTTTCAGGGAAACAGGAGTTTCAAATAGATCAAAAGCCAAGTTCAACACTCAAAAAATAAAGGACCAGGACACAAAAGACATCTTCACTGCAAGTATAAAGGACAAAGCCGAGACACAAATCAACACTAGCGAAGAGGTCAGCGTCGAAAAGCACTGGAACAACTTGAAAAGTGTGGAGCCAAACCTGTATGGAAGTTCTAGGCAGAAAGAAGAGACAGGAAAAACAGGGGCTCACTATGGACACAAGGATACTGATAGAAGAGAGAAGGATGGTGAAACAAAAGATTATCCAGTGCGCCGACGAGCAACAAAAACAGGATTTGAATGCAAGCTACAATACACTAATCAAAAGAGTAAAGAAAAATGCCAGGGAAGACGAGAGACAATATTATGAAGCTATGGCAAGTGAAGCGGAAGAAGTTTCAGGCAAAGGAGACCTCGCAACATTCTACCAAACAACTTGGTTCCTATCGGGGAAAAGTTCAACAAAAATTAAGCCATTGAAGGATGACAATGGGAAGTCGATCACCAGAGAGGTGGAACAAAGGAAACACTGGGCTGAACACTTCGGAAGACTTCTAAACCAACCGCCGCCTGCAAAGCGCCCAATAATACCAGCAGCGGAAGCAGAACTACCAGTGGACATCAACCCTCCGAAGAGAGTAGAAATCCTGAAGGCCATAAAGATGCTTAAAATTGGAAAATCAGCAAGACCAGACGGAATCCCAACAGAAGCATTGAAAATGAACCCAGAGACATCAGTGGACTTGGTGACACTACTACTGAAGAAGGTGTGGGAAGAATTCAAGGTACCTGCGGATTGGAAGAAGGGCTACCTATTCAAACTGCCAAAGAAAGGGGACTTAAGTCAATGCAAGAACTGGCGCGGCATCATGCTCCTGTCTATCCCAAGCAAAATACTAAGCCATCATTGAACAGAGCTTGGAGTGGCAGTAACCTCTCTATTTCAACTTCATCGACTTTGGAAAGGCATTCGACAGCGTCGATCGAGATGTGATTTGGAAACTACTCTGCTACTACGGGGTACCACCAACAGTCATACATCTCATCCAACAGTTGTACGACAATGCTGCATGCCAAGTAATCCACAACGGAAAACTCACGGAATCCTTCGAAGTGAGGACAGGAGTAAGACAAGCTGGCCGCCTACTATTGCCAATGATTTTCCTGATTGCATTAGATTGGATAATGCAACAGACAGCGGGCAATGCGGAAACAGGCATAAAATGGACCCACACAAAAAACTTGGAGGATCTGGACTTCGCCGATGATATATGTCTGATTTCCCACAAACTGGAGGACATGCAAGTGAAAAGCAACAAGTTAGCAGAAGAAGCATCAAAGATAGGACTTCAGGTGAACATAGAGAAAACAGAGGTGATGAAAATTCCTGGACAACACCACCACCAACAACAACATCAACTGACAACAATCAGCATAAATGGGAGGAACCTGAAAGAAACAACCTCTTTTACCTACCTGGGAAGCATCGTTTCAACTACAGGCGGAACGGACGAGGATATCAGAGCAAGAATCGGATAAGCAAGACAAGCTTTCACTACTCTCAAGTCTGTGTGGAGGTCAACAGCACTCAGCATGAAAAGTAAGATCCGGATTTTCAACTCCAATGTGAAGTCAGTGCTACTGTACGGACCAGAGATGTGCACTGCGCGTTATAAAGAGCATCTCAAACAAACTACAGACCTTCATTAACAGTTGTCTTCGCTCAATATTCAAGATCAGACGGCGGGCCAGAGAAGATCAGCAACAGAGATCTCTGGCAATGAGCGAACCAACCAGGAAGCGATTGTGAAACAAATAGGCTGGGAGAAATGGAGATGGATTGACCATACTCTGAGGAAACCATCAAGTGATATCACTAGACAAGCCATTGCTCGAGTGGAAGCCGAAAGGTGGTGGTCAGTGCAAGGGTGACTTGGAGGATGTCATGTGAAGAGGAGATGAAAACGTGTGGGCAGGCATGGAGCCAGGTGAAGATTCTGGCAGAGAACCGAAAGCAATGGAGACGCACGGCTGAAGCCATATGTTCATCAAGGAATTAAAGTAAACAATAATAATATAATAATAATGTCAGTGAGCTGCTGGATGGGTTGACTATTTCCATAGACGAACCGAACTGCGGTGAATACAAATTATCTACTCAGTTTGCATTCATAATCAAGTTGCCTTCTAGAGTATGCTTAAGGGCTAGGAATAAGTCAAGAGAATGCAACATAGCACTAAAGATAGTGTGGATAAAATACCCCCTAAGGAATTCAGCGAAAATTCTACCCATTCCACAGAATTCCATTGCTAACAAGAAGTCATAGTGATGTCAACTATCAACATACATTTGGAGGTTGCAGGTATCGACGTTCGCGAGTTGTACGGATTATACTAACGCAAGATCTTATACCAACAACTTCTATAGTGTTCGTTCTTCGAGTACCAAAGATAAAGCAAAAGACCAGATTTTGTCGTCCAAAGTACGTAGTATATTTCGGGACAAAATTGCGGGTAGAGATGAATGCTTAGCTAGCTAGTAATCGTGCACGCACGTGACACGACGGAGTACCAAATGGCGGGGATGCTTGACCGGAAGCCTTCAGCTAAACAAGTCGACTTAAACAGTGATGGTCAGCATCCAATGTTGAGTGATGATTGCTGTGGTCAATAATCCTGGGGAATTATTTACCGCTACACACTCTTAACATGTGTGCCAAACATTTACCTTTTTGCAGCGACAGTGAAACGCTATTCAGTTTGCGATGAAACTGTCTGGTTCTTCAACTAGCCTCTTTCACCATTTTTTTTAAGTCGCAACGGTTGTTTTCCTCGAGGAGGCTTTATTGAGACATATAAATTCTTTAATACGCCCGACGTTTCAAGTGCATACATTGTCTCAAGATTATACACGTAAGTTATTGCATCTACAGAGATTAATAAGCAAAGGTGATGACTGAAGTGATTGGATAATTGCTTCTGAATAGTAGCTACCCCAAGCTAGGAGAGATGGCATGATTGTTTTTGTAAGCAATCAGCTATTCGGCAGTGGTTGATGAAATGGTGCGAGAGGTAGTGCAATAGTTCACATGAGCTCATTGCAGACAGTGTGTCACACTACAGTTTCTATATAACCTGTACACTATAAAGTACTATAAAAGATAGTGAGTGTCCCTGTTTGTATAGTGTTTTCATTCACTTAATAAGGGCTAAACCACAAGTGACTCATACTTCCTAAAAACTGAAATTTCTTAAATTGAGAGAACTAGTATACCTACTGTTGTTTTACTTCTTCAAAATGAGTCTGTTTCCTTGACAAAAATACATATATTTTTGAGTTTATGGGAATGGTGAGCATTACATCATTATCATGATTTCATTTTCATATTCAGAGTAAAAGCGGCCCTTCTTATTGCTTTCTGGTCGAGTGGTTTGATACCATATCGTCATTAGTGAAAACCTTTCAGCTGATTTATCATCCTAACATTTCTTCAGTGGAAATGGTAGTTAATATTAATTTCTGCATTATTCTTCAAGCATGAAGAAAAAACAAACAGGCTTTTCTTGAAACCTACGAAAGTTGAGGGGCTTAAACTGTCCGATTTTTACTTAGGTAGTACAGTAACTATATTCTCGCGCTCTCTCAGGATTGTGGATTTCGGAGACGAGTTTACAAAACGACAGTTCTTAAGTCGTTCAGAGAGGTAATTCCCCACCAAATTCATATGTCAAAATGAAGATGCGTAGTATTTATAACCCCAAATTCTATTTGCCGGGCTGGTGAAGTTATAGCAACACTGGAGAACAAGTCTTTTCGTATTGTAAATCTGAAGATGTTACGTTTGACATCAGATGAAGTCAAAAGTCTTTTCGAGAACCATACGGACTTTTCTAGCATTCCGTAAGTCATCTATGTCTTATGGTAATGGAGTTTATGATAATTTATCAAAATAGCATGTTCTTTAGTGTAGGATTGTATCATCAACATGATAATTCAAAACAGAGATGTTTCTGGTTTCACATTTTAATTTTGATTCAGTCAGTGAGTAAACTTCGATTCATGAGATTTTTTATGAAACTTATTAATATTTATAACACTGAGTACAATGGTATACCTCAGAAAAAGAAACATTTAAAAGTATGCAATAGTCCCCAGCGGCATAGGAGATATAATACTGCAGCATTCAGTTACCTTTTAATGAAACCACAGAATGCTTCTCAGGCTATAGATTCAAATTTCGAGTTGAGGATAGGAGGCTTCAAGCCCATATGAAGATATTTATATTAGGTCTCTGATTGCCCAGTTCTTTCTCGAATGAAGTCTCAAATACCTATTATTTTGGGATTTGATGACTGTGCAAGAAAAATAGCTCTCTACGGCAATCTATTTCATTCTTGGCTTTTGAACTATACTGCTATTTCCTTTAAAGTATTTTCACTTATATGAAAAGGAGAAATGATGCATGACAGATTTATAGTCACTTTTAGGGTTCTGAACATTATGGTTAGATATTCCCTCTGTCTGTATGCTACGAAAAGGAAGTTCAGTCTGTTATGTAATTTATTGAATAAAAAATCGGCAATGCCAAGGGTCAGTTGTATGGTTGCCCTTTTTTATCTTTTCCAATATACAAAAGTTAGATTTCGACCAGGGCCCGGTTGCTTGGACTTGGTTTCCTGGTTTGAATTTCACCAAAGATGCATAAATAAGGATGGAAATGCACTGGTGATTCTATTAAGGCTCTTGTAATTATTCTTTTTCTTGTAATTTATTTCAGCCGTGATTTCATCAGATTTCTTCTTTTCTTCGATTTGAACTTTTCTGAAGTTTTGCAACTGAAACTGGCATGCTTTTGTGCAGAATACACTTTGTTTGGGTGATAACTAAGTCGTTAAGTAAGAAAAAGAAGTGGATAGTTGTACCAAAGTAAAAATGGAATATATCTATGCTTTATATTATTGGTTTTTAGTCGCATCATCTACAAAATATATCCACTGATTTTCGGCATCAACATGATTTGAATCGATGAGAACGTGAATACTCGCATAATTCTGATTGTGTCTTCATCTAATTGCTTTACGCTTTTAAAAAAATCTAATTTCCCTTTTTTTCATCACATCAACAGAGATGTTGGCTGAATAAGTGTGTGCAATGCATGTGTAAAATTTTATCAGTTATTAGCCCAGTTGGCCTTATTGAATAACTAAACAATTTTTATTAAAAGCATTTTAAATTTTCCATTAATTTATCTTATTGGACTGGTCAAAATGAGCACTTGCTTTAAATAAATGGTATGGAAACCTACATGCCTGCGGCTAAATAATGGTTTAATAGGATAATATTCTAACTGTCTTATATGTAATTTTCTAAGAATTTTTGGATTGCAAGTAAGTGGTTATATAACCTTTGCACAACCATGTTAATGTGAAGCAACTATCGAGTTTTTAATAATACACTTCGTTTTGTCTGTTTATTTTTTCTGGATTAGGAGATTATTAAGTGAATTATCAGGCAGAATTGTTATCGCTTTAGAATTGATGGGCGCAAATGCGTGTAAACTTTTGAATGAATTTATTTATGGATCAAAAGGAGATGACGTTTTATCTAATCCTGATTTATTTATGCTAACAACAAATGCTAGTGATTCATTAAAGCAGGCTAATAAAATATTTGGTAATCCTGGTGGAATGAATTATCTGGGAGCACCATTGCTCAAGAATACAACACTATGCATAATTAGACCACACGCAGTGTCAGATGGTAATATGCAGTTTACTTTGAATTGTATTTATTTTTCTGATTATAGAGTTATTAAAAAATTTCCCAGTCGCTCGATTTTGAAGAATGAAGTCTCATCGGGTTGGTGTAAGTCACTGATCATCCCGATATACAAGAAGGGAGACAAGTCTTCTTGTGATAATCACAGAGGGATTAGCTTGACTAATATAGTATCTAAAGTCCTAGGCTTAATAATCATGCGTTGACTAAGTGGTGCTAGGGAGGCACAAACACGAGAACATCAGGCAGGTTTTAGGCCAGGAAGAGGGTGTGTTGATCATATCTTCACCCTTCGACAGATTCTAGAATATAGGCATTCCTACCAGCGTCCAACAATCACTATATTTCTTGACCTAAAGGCGGCATTCCATTCTGTCGACCGAGAGGTTCTCTGGCGATGCTTGGCTGTAAAGGGAATACCGAGAAAATACATTGCACTGATTAAGGCACTCTACTCATACTCATGCAGCCAGGTGAGGGCTTACGGCGAGTTGTCATCTGAAGTGGTGACGATTAGTGGCGGCCGTCAAGGATGCCCATTATCCCCATTTCTATTCAACTTCATCATAGATGTACTAATGGACTTAACCCTAACACACTTCAGGGACTCAGGGATTGACTTGCTACCAGGGGATAATCTCGTTGACTTAGAATATGCAGACGATATAGTCCTTCTAGGCGAGGACGCTGGCAAAATGCAGAGTCTTCTGAATACCTTGAGCAGCAATCTTCGTATGTTTGGCATGCAATTTGCCCCTGTAAAATGTAAGATGATGCTGCAGGATTGGATTTCACCGACCCCTAGATTAGAAATAGGAAGTGGAGTGGTAGAGCACGTTGACCGCTTCACTTACTTGGGAAGTACCATCAGCCCCAACGGGTTGATCTCCGACGATATCTCAGCACGAATACATAGGGATAGTTTCGCATATGCCAGTTTACGCCGTCTCTGGCGTAGACGTGATATCCGACTATCGACCAAAGGGCGTGTGTACTGCTCAGCAGTCCGCTCCGTCCTCCTTTATGGCTGTGAGACCTGGCCATTGAGAGTGGAAGACATGAAAAGATTATCTGTGTTCGATCATAGGTGTCTGCGTTCTATCTCCCATGTGAAGTGGTATAATAAGGTGAGCAATATTGAGGTTAGGCGTCAAGTGCTAGGTAAGGCGGGGAAATCAATCGACGAGACTGTGAAATTACATCGACTGAGATGATTAGGGCATGTGTTACGTATGCTTAGTCATCGCCTTCCTCGACGGGCAATGTTAGCTGATATTGGGCCAGGCTGGAAAGGAGCTAGCGGCGGTCAAACGAAAACCTGGCACCAGTCAGTGAAATCCACAACAGTTAATCTAAGCCACGTAGGAAGATGTAGACTTCCTGGTTGGGGTCCTCGGGACGGTAGAAACCAATGGTTGGAAACAATTGGTGACATGGCTCAAAATCGTTCTCAATGGCTAACGCAGATGCATCCACTCCTTGTGACTTATGATTTCCAATGAAACTATTTTGTTCTTGTTTATTACTATTCCTTTGTCTCACACCTCTGTTTACTGTCAATATTATGCATTTCTCCTACTTACTTCTCTTCCTTTGTGTGTTACATGGAGTGTGGCGACTTGAACTGCGCACATATGTACAAAGTTCTATGTCGAAAACCGACCGACCGAAGAATGTATATGCGCATAATTAATACAGACGATATTAAGAGAGCTTTTCCGTAGAATGCGCATATGATCGCACTGGACTGTCTTGATGCACAAACACTAAACATCTTGGTTAAAAAAGTTAGAAGTTCATTACTATGTATCTCTTAATCAAACAATAATAAGATGTGCAATATGGTTTAAGCTGGGACCCTCGAGACGTTAATAATCAGGCTTTGGAGTTTGATAGTGACAAAGCTCAAAATGGCTCTCAATGCAGCACACGCATTCATTCATTGTGTACTCCCAGACCCATTACTTTATCATTACTTGTCATGTAGTTATTCTTCTACCAACATTTCTGTTCACTATAACTTCTCTGCGTTTCCTTTCTCCTGAAACCATTACATGTGCTTTATAAAGTGTGACAGTTTGAACTACTGAAAAGTTCTATGTTGAAAACTCACTTCGGTTCAATCATAAACTAAAACGAGCCAGTCCATGTCTATTAAATTAATTCATTTAAGAAACTAAGTGATACTTCCCTTTTAGTAGGTTTACTGGCAAACCAATGAATACAGAAAAAGAGTAGGGCGCAAAGCTTTGTTACTCTTCACAACTGTATAAAAGTAAAGATGAACAGTGAATATGATATGTATATGAACACCTTGCGTACATTTTTCAATCGTGTGACAGAGACATTTTGACTACTGATTTCTTACATATTTAAAATTATCGGTAGAGCAAGTTACTTCTATTTAAGCGTACAGCTAGGACTCTTAGTAATCTCTTCTATCCTTTGATATAAAGTCTTGATTTAACCCAGATTAATTAACTTTTTTCTTTAACAAAGCTTCTATATCAGATGAGACTCAGTGTTACGTAAAATATGTTTGTGTATTCATGTAGTGCAATGCTCAAGCTTAGAAATATGTGGTATCAAATATGGCTGGTTCGAAATTTAAAGTGAGAACACAAAATAACAGGTACAATAAAAACAAACTGTATTGCTGGTAAAAATTATACGTTAAAGATAAGATATTTAGAGCAAAAGTATTGTCTTATCTTAAGATGTTACTTAGTGTAGGCATTTACATAAAAAATACACGAATTGTCTAAAACTGATAAGTTAATCAACCAGTAGAAATTAAATATTATGACGAAGGTGAGACAACTATTCAGTTACAAGAGATTTAAAAAAATCAATATATATATATATCAGTGGGCACTTATAATCTCTCCTTATGACCGTCAGTTGCGTATTTTCTTCAAAGTTAAATATATACCTAGTTGATGAGGAGTATTATGTACGAAACCGACTCATTGTTACTTTCTAACACATACTTTACATACCTGTTTTACAATATTCTTTTCTGAAATATATCATATCACAACATAAGAAATCATTGGGTGTTAACTTACCATCTTGCAACTCATTATATAGAATTCAAGATGAAAGCATAGCATTACTTTTATTACATGATGTTTGGGATACGGCAATAAAACTCCCTGATACATTATATTGTAGTAATATTTTAATACAGTCCTTTACCTGTTTGAACGTTAGCATGAATAAACCCAAATATAAAGTTATCCTCCATTATATAGTTAATATCACAGACTTTACACTACTTAGCAATATTAATCTTCTTAAGCTGTTCAAGAAGTTTAGGATATGATCACTATTCATTATGGTAATTTATATCGTATAGTATTTCAAAAGATAATATTATGGATGATAGTGAGTCACCAAGTTTTAAAATATAACGAATAAAAATATCAGTACAGTGCATTTTTCAGAAGTCCTCTGTAATTTTTATGTTGATCAAGTCTTATGTAACAATCATCATGACAGCTAATATGAGCACCGTGATGTATTACAAGCAGTTGATGACTGTGTATAAGTTCAAGCTAACAAAATTTCAATTACGAAATAAATGCGCAACATTTATCAAATCTGAAATATTTTTTTAAAAGAAAAATATATTCACCCACTCATACTTATCAAACAGTAACAAACTTTGCTCCAAAATTTAGGTCTTACTGGGAAAATATGGAATGCAATTAAAGAAAAAGGGTTTTGTGTAACAGCAGCCCGTCTCTATCGCCTATCCAAAGCGGATGCAGCAGAATTTTTGGAAATATACAAAGGTGTAGTACAGGAATATCCAGAGATGTTGGATCAGTTATCTTCAGGTCCTTGTATAGCATTAGAAATAGGGTTTCCAGATCCAAATGTAAATGTTCATCAAACTTTTCGAGAGTTCACTGGACCAATAGATCCGGTGAGTTTACTTATTTTTATCTAATAATTTAGAGATTAGAAAAATGACTACCATTATAATGCAATTGACTTTCTAATCCGTAAACTAATTTCAATGTCTTTGAATGTTTTTTTTTAAAAGTAACTTAAAGATATTTTAGAATGCCTGATTACCGAGCGTCCTCTGCATATTAAATATCAGTATTTGGAGGGTGTTGGTTACACAGCTCAAAACAGTTCACAGTGAGGTGGATGTATTCACGTTTCTATCACCTGGATCGCAATAGTCTTTACCTAATAAATGTTTCATGTACATTTTCGTCCACCACAGATTGAATACATATCTTTCTCTATTACTATGTGCTTCAATGAAGGGTGGTAGTTTGAGCTGATATGTTTTTGTTCATGGTTCTGTCTCGATAGACTATTCGTCATTAAACTGCTAATAAGTTTCCGGTTTAGCTTAATATTATTGAGGGTTTACCACTGACTCCCAAAGCACAACAGAGTACTTATGCAATGCTATTGTGAAGTTGAGCTGACTGCCAGATGTTTAGTGTATATAGTCGAGGCCTGTAAAATGTGGAATTTTCAGCACGATGATGTCTAAAAAATCTCCTTGCCTTGTTGTAGTACTGTAGGTAGAATTATCCACATTAAACGATAACAGAATATAACTAATTGAGCTACTCGGTGGGTTCGTAATAGTTGAATCTGATAGCAAATGCTTATTGAAAAAGTTTGGTGTTAGCGGTGATATCTTGAGAGCTGATAAGAATTAGAATTAATTAATCCTTAAAAATTAAAAAGACAGTTGCTGCGAAGAAAATTTTCTTTTCTTTTCAACGAAGTCCTTACCTTAAATCTCATTCTAGTGGTTGAATGGAGAAAGTCATTGTATTGGAATCTGATGATCCTGTGTTTAATCTCTGGTAGTTCCACAGGTCTGTACTCCTTTTTCTTTTATCTTTATTCGTCATAATTGTTAAATGAAATTAATTTAAACATTTCATTGAATACTTTTTTCCTAAAGGAGATCGCCAAATTTTTGCGACCAGATACATTAAGAGCTATATTTGGAGTTGACAAAGTGAGAAATGCTGTTCATTGCACTGATCTACCCGGTGATACTGAACTTGAGGTAATCTTTTTTATTATTATTATTATGTTTTCCAGGAGTCAGCATGTAATTTTTTCTGATGACATCAATTGAAATATTAATTATTATTCTATTAATTCATCACCATAATAATTACGCGAAGCTTTTATACGCTAGGGGAATATTTTCTTAGTCATTTTCAATTTCAGTAACTGATTACAATCAGCCTGTTTGTGACAACAAAATACGATGAATTATTGTTAATACTTATGAGTAGTACATATTCTTATCCAACTTTTAAATAACACTGAAGATGACATTTAAAATGTCATTGAAAGTTCTCTCCTGATAGACTGTCAGTGTTGAAATCATCATTATCGACCTAAGCATAGTATTATGCATAATTTTCCTTTCTTAAGACATTCTCCTAAATTTTCAATCATTGGTTTTGTAGGGATTTTGTTTGACTGTTTGGAGGATTTCATCATGAGCTGACATCAGTTAGAGAACCATTGGAAAACCTGGAAGTACCGGACAGCTGCTTCGTCCTAGTTTGGGGCTCTTCATCAGTAGGCATCCACCATAGGGGTTCGAACCCAGGACCTTCTGGTTACAAGGCGAGCTAGCTCGTAGACCGACCATTAAGCCACTATAACCCGATCCAGTGGTCAGTTCATGAAATCTAACTTCTGCCAATTCCAGACATAGCGTTACCACTTCGCAATGTCTTCTTCGATGAGTTAATACATCACCTCCAACCTGCTGTACCCTACTGGTCACAACATCCCACTAGAACCCCAGGTAACCGTCTGAATAGGGCCAGTCACTAGTGAGCACCAGATCAATTTCCAAGTACCGATGAAGAGTCCAAAACTAGGACAAAACAGCTGTCTGGTACTCCCAGGTTTTCCAATGGTTCTCTAATTGGCGTCAGCTCATAATGAAACCCTCCAACTTTCTCCTAACCTGTCATTTTTTGAAGATAGTGTCTACACTATTGAGAGAAATACCAATAAATGACTTTCTAAATTTTTGAATGACATCTTGCCGTTTAGTGGCATTATTATCCAGCATCAAATGGGTAACAACATGATTCAACCCAAGATGTCATAATCTCCGCTAGAATTTGAGATAGATACGCTTTATGTCTGAAAACTTTTTAGTTTATTAACAAATTATTTTTCTTAAGATTAGAATGATACGTCGTTTCGATACGAAACGACCTAGCAGGAAATGCAACACTATAGTTTATACCAAATCCTATGATATTATTTTCCAGTATCACTCTATGTTCTTTAAGTTTTGTTATATTTATGAAGATTTCAGAGGCTAAATTGCTGAAATATTCCTTCTTTAAAAAATAGACTATCCCAAAGTTAGACAGAATAAAGGAGCTAATAAATTCTGAAAATAGAAGATGCCATATATACCTGGAAGTCTCAACTATCCTACGCAGTATGTCAAACAAAACATTGGACAATTAAAAGAGATTAGCAACAAAGTTTAGCTAGAACTGACAACACTTTTGATTTGTGTTCTCTGCAAAAGGCAGCTATCACTTGTAAAACTATATTTAACAGTCTAACAACTAATGTTATTTAGTTTATATTCCTTGTAAGAAAGGCAACAAAAACAACTAATTTTACGTAAGGAATATTAAGAAATCGTTGATTTCACTTTTGCAACAACTAATCTCCAATTCATTTCCTTCACACATCTAGACTACACATTAAGCACAATTTGGCATCCCTCCCTAAAAAAACATGTGACAGCTAACTTGCTGTTTTGAATCAACGTATGCAATTCGTAATCAGCTTTGCTTTTATGATATACTGTCAAATAAATATATGTCATCTTAGTTCCATGTCGAGGAGAAAGGTTCTTTTCAAGCCTGATTTCAGGACATTTAATTGATTCTGGTTAACAGGTACTAGCTAGGTGTATAGGATTTCGAGACAGTTTCTTCAAAAGAATGAAAAATATTACTGTAATAACCACAAACGAGTCAGCTTGAATAGATGTCGAAGTTGTTAAATATCTGTACTGTCACCAGCTAACTAAAATGGAAACTTGGTAACCTCCTGGTAGATTTTCCGAGCGTCAACCAGTAAACTCGAAAATTGACGGTAATTATATTGAAAGGTGGAGCGAGAGAGAATCTGAAAGTATTCTAAAAAGTCTAGAGGAAACTAATCTTAGAATAATTTAGGCCAAGAAATAGGTGTCTATGAAGACCGATGCTCAAAGTCACCATTTGTATTATATTTAGCTACACGTATGTTGACGAATGTGAAACTTGTGGGACCAATGGGTTGACTTATTAGCAAAGAGTATTCTCTTTAAGTATGGAGGAGACACAGTCGTTTTAGGTGACAACGGTGACAAACTGTAGAGTCTTCTGAGCTCTCTAAGATGCTTGTTATGTAACTATCCCAGTAAAATGTAATGTAATGCATCGGGAACGGGATCCGCCAAATCCTAGTTCGAGGGTAGGTACTGAAATGATTCAATGTATTGACTACATCATGTATATTAGAAGTTACATCAGTCTTGATCTACTCTTTGCCGATGAATTGTCAGTAGGATTTATGAAGCTTATCTGGTACCACTTTGTCGACAAGAAATGCTGGGGTTAAATCGAATTAGGTTGGAAAAGAGTGATATATGGTCAGACTAAAACATGGCGTCAATTCACGAAATCGTTGACTGTTAGTCCGATGTGATCACGGAGGTGTAGACTTCTTTGCTGGAATCCTCACTATTCTAAGAATCACTTTTAAGGATTGTAAGTGATATGGCTTAAAACCGCTATCAGAGGCGCAAATGCATCCGCTCCTTGTTATTTAACAGATTCTGAAACTTCCCACCATTCGTCATCCAAATGTTACTTTTCCTTTATGTTTTGCTTGATTGTGCTTTCATTAAACTTTAATATATTATTTTCTGATATGTGGAAATGTGAAGGGATACACTTTTGTGAAAAATTCTGCTCTGATAAGCTAATCGGTTACTATCATTCTTTTGTTACTGAATACATCTCTCCACCTTAATATATGAGATCGCCACGTTGAAATGCATTCGATTCTCTAACCGTATTATACTGTTTAATTTAATTACTCAACCTCTTAGTTTTGATACATTGTTAAAATCCTAACCAATAATTAGTTTTTGTCAAGATATCTTTGGTAAATTCATTGAATTTATCTCAATTCTAGTTCACCAAAAAAACCTTATGTTCTTCATTTGCGCAGCAACATGTCTTATGCTGTCAGCCTTAGAAGTACTCAGTCGTAAATCTCGAGTATAATCCACTCTTTACAGAATACATTTCTCGAATAAAGGAATAAAGAGCCAAAAAACCCATTTTAAGCCATGATTGTTGAGGGAAACATTGGCTCGACACATTTAACAGATGTACTAACCAACGAAATCAAACCTGTCGATTGGCTAACTCTCTCTACATAACACTATGCTTTACATCGTTGTTACTGACTATATCGTCCTGCCTAATGTGAAGATTGTCGACACTGTTAACACCATTCAGTCTGCCTATATGCAAATATTATGCTGTGTACTTGAAAAAATAAGCTAGCAGTTATTCGGCTTTATGTCCTGTAGGTTAAACAGGCCAGCATTCATCTAGCTAACGCTTAAAGTGAATAAGATATTAAATTAAGTATTTGTAAATTATAAAGTTCGAGGTGAAACTCCACGGTATGGAAAACAGATCTGTTGATACGATGAATCTCATCAGCATTATGGGCTTAAAAGTTACTACTAACCCGTATGAATTGTTGATTAGCACACTGGTCAATTTAGTGTTGTACAAGCGTTCAAGTCAATAACCACTTGATTACGTTTGCTGCATATATTAACGAATTTGTTAAGATTAGTGTAAATTAAATGTATCAAATGACTAAAAGTAATGATGGTCATCCTAGTGATTCCTACAAATAACAACAGTACAGCTAAAGTGTTACTTTCGAAAAAGTTGTCCAGAACGCCTTCAGATAACATCTCCCATTAGACAATAATACATTCTTAAATAAAACTAAAATACACATACATTATAATCCAATGATAGCATAAAATCAAGTATATTCTCTTCTTTTCTTTACAGGTTAACTATTTTTTCAATAACCTGGATAAATGAAATACAACATAACCATATTAAGTTTTGAAAACATCTTGTAAAGTCAAACACTTTCTCCCAATTCCTCAGAATCCAATCGAAAAAGAAAACTTAAAAAAAAACATAGAACAAAACAATGGGTGATATCCCCTACAACAAGTTGGTCATTTATTTCATCTTGTAGATTTCATGTTAACATTCTGTTAATAATTGGCGAAAAAATCCCTTTCTCTTGTTAACCGGTTATACGTATACACCAAACAAGCCCGATTACCCTGTCAATACAACTGTAGTAAATACATTGTGAATAAATAAATACACATATAAATATTCTTTTAATATTGAAAAAAATGAGTCGAAATACTCAAGCATTTTTCTCCATTTCTTCCAATAATAAATTATAAAAACCAACAAACTTGCTGAAGAAGCAACCGGTGAAGACAGGATTGCAGGTGAACATATAGAAGACGGAGGTAATGAAGATAACCAATCAACCAATAGCAACAACAACAAAAACGGGAGAGATTTCACAGAGGTAACTTCTGTCACTTATCTAGTAAGCATAGTTTCAACTACAGGCGACAGAACGGATGAAGATGTCAAAGTCAGGCCGGATTAGAAAGGCAAGATACGCTTTCATCAATCTGAAATCAGTTTGGAAATCTTCTGCACTGACTCAGCATAAGGAACAAAATTCGGATTTTCAACACAAATGTCAAGTTGGTCGGTTATTCTACGTGGATCAGAAACTTACAGTGTGTGTCACGAAAAGGATTTTCAACAGGCTACTGCAGACTTTTATCAACACCTGCCTTTGCTGGCTCCATAGTGAAGATCAAATGGCTAGAAAGAATAAGTAACAAGAAACTCTGACCGGGAACAAACCAATCAGGAGCCGATTGCCCAACAAATATGTAGAGAAAATGGAGATGGATGGATCGGGCATACATTGAGGAGGCCATCAAATCACATCGCGTGCAATGCATGCCATTGCTCGAGTGAAATCCCGATGGGGAGCGATGCTAGGGTGACATTGAGGAGATCATGTGAGTTGGAGGAGAAGATGAGAGATTATGGGCAATTGTGGACCCAGGTGAAGAAGATCGCAGAGAGTAGAACGCGGTGGAGATGTGTTGATGAAGCCGTATGTTCCACTCGGAACCCAAGGGAACAACAATAATAATGATATATTAAGAATAAGGTGAATATCTTATGTGATCCTGACGAAGTGATAGTGTTGTGCATACTGAATACTTTGCAAATCAATATTTTTTGCGTAAATTATCATTTAGCCATAATGAGTTAAGAAAAGAAAACTTCTTAAATGTCAGTCGCTTTGAGACAATAAGAACCAATGCCTTGAGGCTGTTGATGTGGCTAGAAAAATTGTTCTCCATGGCACAGATACGTTCACTTTTTGTAATCTCCATGATCCATTAGACCAACATGTTTCTTCATGTAGTTATTATTCTTCTCCATAATTTTCCTCTACCCTTTCTATGGTATATGGAGTGCGGCAGCTTGAACTGGTGTAATTTTGCTCAAAGTTCTACTTTGAAAACTAAGTCAGTCAGTCAAATGTCAGTTAAGGCTTGAAAGGTACTTTTTATAACATAACCATTAAATTATATGCTATAACACGACGACATACTATGTTATGAAAAACTATTAAGGGTTAATAAATTAAATAAATAATAAATCAAGGCTTTTATTCTTATCCGCTCTTAACAGTTATGTATTTCGAAGTGATTTCTATTGCTTAAGTGATTCAAATCTGTTATTGTGTTAGTAGCTATATAGGTGACACCTAAAAAAAGGAATATCATAATGTAGTGTGAAATTAAAACTAGGAAATTTTATCCAGTGACTTTTGCCAACAATAAGTGATTTATGCACTTCGTGTGCATAATCTGAATGCGAGTATTTTGAAACTTAATGGATCTTGTTAAAGTCTTAATCATCAGCAATGTCTGACTCAGATCAATATTCAATGAGGGGATCAATTATTATTATTGTTCCCTTGGGTTCCTAGTAGAACATAGGGCTTCAACTACACCTCTCCACTTGTTTCTGTCTTCTGCTGTACTTTTCGCTTGCATCCATGTGAGTCCATACTGTTTCAACTCTTCTTCACACGATCTCCTCCATGTCACCCTTGGACGTCCTACTCACCGCTTCCCTTTCGGCTTCCACTCGAGCTATGGCCTGACGCGTGATGTCACCCAGCGGCCTCCTCAGCGAGTGTCCAATCCATCTCCACTTTCTCCTGCATATTTCTTGAGCGATTGGTTCTTGCTTGTTTGTTCCCATAGTTTCTTGTTGGTTCTTGTTCTTTCCGGCGGCCATCTGATCTTGAGTATAGAACGAAGACAGCTGTTGATAAAGGTCTGCAACAGGCTGTTGGAAATGCTCATTCTTTGTGACACACTGGCCAAGTTTCTGATCCATTCGTATAGAAGAACTGACTGACTTGACGTTTGTATTGAAAATCCGAATCACTTTGTTGTTGATGCAGGCTGAGTGACGAAGATTTCCAGATTGGTTTTAAGTTTATGAATGTGTTTCTCGCCTTCCCGATTCTCGATTTGACATCCTCGTCCGTTCCTCCTGTGGTTGAGACAATGCTCCCTAGATAAGTGAATGAAGTGACCTCTTTCAAATCCCTCCCGTTGATGGTGATTGGCGGCACTGGATGTTGCTGCTGCTGTTGTTGTTGGTTGGTTATTTTCATAACCTCCATCTTGTCTATGTTGACCTGGAGTCCTGTCTTCACCAGCTGCTTCTTCGACCAGTTTGTCGGTTTTCGCTTGTAGGTCTTCGATTTTGTGTGACATCAAACATAAATCATCCGCGAAGGGATCAATAATACATCAGTATCGCGTAGCCTTCCTTTATTTCCATGGTATATGGTGCCAGGAAATAATAACCGTCCTCACACTTCTGTAGGCACACAAAGGTTCCCTAGGAATTACCCCCCTTCATATTCTTGTTTTCTTACGGCAGCTATTATTATTCTCCAGGTGGGTCATTCACTTTTTCCCAACTCTGCGACCAGTTATAGCGAATACAACCGTAAAAAAGCTACCAATAATCTCTTAAAACGGTGTTACCAAACTGTATAGTGGATAATTCAGTGTCAGAATCCGATTTCAAATCAGACAAGCCTCATTAACTAGAACTCTGGCATCTCGAAACATTAATATATTTTGTTTTTCGTAGACATGTGGTGTTATTCACTCAAACCCACTTGACCAACTCGTTGATGAATCTGTAAGATTCACCTTGTAGCAGTCAGGAGATTCTTCGGCTAATTCGTGAGGACTTGCAGGTGTAAATATAGCATTAGGCGGGATTCCAGTGGATAGTCACGTATGTACTGTCTAGCCCAACAGATCCAATGGAAGGAAAGACAATGAGACCCACTGGTCTCTTTTCATAATCTTCGATAACGCCCCCGAACGGTTGTAGTTCTGACGAAGTAGAAGATGAGTTATTTCAAAAGCTGTCTAGTTTGTTTCTGAAGGCAAAAGGCTTAGATATTGGCATTGTAGCACATGATTTCACCGCTCAAGCAGGGAAGCGGTGCCAGTTAGGAAAGTATGTTGGCGGTCCCAGGTCGACGAAAAAAAGACGGTGATTGTCTTCTACAGATAATTATCTGTTCCTCCTGATCAGCAGTGAATTCATACATACAGAACTTCAATAGTACATCAACAATGGATTGAAGTAGAGGGTATAGATAGAAAAGGTCAATAAGAGAATATCGCTGCTTCTGAAACCCCTCGAAATTCAAGTCACGCTTCAGTGAATACATATGCCTACCACTGCATGGATATAGGCAACAGGCAGCTATGAAGGTGATACATTCCCGACTTCTTGATGAGAAAATGTGTCTGTTTATTGATGAATAACTAAATGTCTACCTAAGATTCACAGAAAGTCTTATGTTGAAGAAGACTACAATAGTATAAAGTCAGCTGTAGAAACAGTGGGAAAGGCTGTGATAACTTAAAACCAAAGATTTGTAAATGACAATGGATTTCCCTTGCTTCATCTGAATTGATAGACGCCAGAACACTGATTCTAGCGCGATCTGAAGATGATGAGCAGCAAAAGCTGTTCAAATAGAAACCGACCAAAAGTCTCCATTGTGAACAGAGGTGGGCGACAAAAGCTAAAGAGATAGAAAAAGTACTGGTGATAGGTAACACCACATAACTATAAAACTTGATTAGGGGAATGGATTGTAAATGATCAATGACAGGTGAAACAATCTTGAGAAGAACGGAACTTTAACTACCTCTCAAGATAGAGGACTAGGACGTCGGAGGGAACACTTTGAGGAACAATTCAACTGACCTACAGCCACACTAAATTTACCCAGCATCCAACACCTACATGAACGGAATGTAGATACCAGTCCTCCAACAGTATCTGACGTTGTAACAGCTGCCTGTAATCTGCAACGAGGTAAAGTATGACTTCATAGGTGTTTACAGATGGCACGATAATGAATTATGAAATGGAGCAACTAAGATATCAGGTAATGTGTGGGAACCAGAGATAATTCAGTTAGGCTGGTGTGAATCATTGAGTATCCCAGTTTGCAGGAAGGAGGACAGACAAGTCTTCCTGTGATAATCACAGTGAGATTAGTGTTACATGGAAAGTTGCATCCGCCTTAATGGACTGATCGTTGTTGAAATCTCAGCCCGCATACAAAAGGTTCATATGGTATTTTCCAACTTACATTATTTCGGTTGCAGACTTGATATCCGCCTGTCGACTGAAGATGTGTGTTGCAGAGAAGTTCGCTTAGTGAGACAAAGCTGTTTATCACCATGGGAATTTCCGGTCTATCTCTCCTGTTAACTGGTATAATAAGATGAGTAATATAGAGGTGAGGTGTAAAATTAAGTGAGGTGGGTTGGACAGCCGATGAAGTTGTGCAGCTTCACTGATTAAAATAGCTAGGACACTGTTACGACTGAACTGAATAAATCCGTTGCTACTTTGTTATGTCTGCGCCTCTTAATTACTAGAATGGCAATCAACTTGGCTGGTACGCTAATATGCCTATTTGTCCGTTGTACTTTACGATTCACTGAGCCATGCAAACATCAAAAGACAAAGACTGGCTTGGGACTAAGATATTATATTGCACATCTATTGGAAAACAAATAATCATATTTGTATAATTAATTTATCACAATACAGTCAAAATGGGCTGTTCTTATTGGCTAGAAATTTCTATTCTGATTGGTTGGTGATCCGACAAAGACCAAGGTGAGACAAAAGACGATGAATTGATCACACACTAAATCACAATATGCGTTAGAAGTGATAGATCAACATAGTAACTCCATGATTTCTGAGGAAGCATGATATGCTATTTTATGCTGGGTCCTATCAGACATGTGCTATTCATACCAAGCCATCGCTTCCTTCAGCCAGAAATCTTAGTCGACATCGGGTAAATTCGGAAAAGAGTTAGATCAAAACCTTGCATCAATCCATGAAGTCTTTGACTGTTGATTTGAGCTATGTAAGGATGTGTAGACTATCTGTGTCTGTCTGGCGTCCTCTAGACGCTAGGATCAATGATTTGGAGCTGTTGGTGACATCGCTATTGATGTTTCAGACATATTTACTCTTTATGAACCAGTTTTTTTCCTTCACGTTCCCCAGTGGAACACAGGGCTTCAAGCTAGTGGCTTGAAGTTTCTGTAGCAGTGCTTATTTTACAGGATGGGGTTGCTAGCCTCATGCCCAACCTTTCCTGTTCACCAGCATTATTTCTGGCTTAGCGAGGTAGAGGAGTGCATCGGCCGGGGATCGAACCCCGGACCATGTGCATGGTCGGCGAGCGTCCTAACCGCTATACCACCGACGCACTTATGAACCAGTAGATACATCAAACTCTCATTGTTGTCTATAAACTGATTCTTTCTTCTCTACATCCCCTTTCATGATAGTGTATTTGTGTTTTTTCTCTTATTCCACCTTTACGGGCTATTTGAGATGTGCAAGTTGCTTTACTGCGCAGTTGCACGTTGAAAATTACCCTGATAACTTGATTGACAATCAGTATCGGAGAAATTGAAATTTGTTGATATTGGATGGTTGGTTGGAGGCAATCGGCCGGAAGCATTGGACCTAGGTAATGTGTGATAACGTCTCAGAGTGCAGCACTGGGTGACGCGAGTTCGAATCTCAGAGGGGACATGAGTTCCTTCAAGGTTGCACGAAGCCTTGGTGAGGTAGGGCTTCCTACCGATCACCTCCAACCATCTAATATCAACAATTCGAAATGCACGGTGATGACAAGCCATCTAGCATGGTGGTGGCCACATTGCAAACTTGATTGGTGCCATTTAGTCTGCACCAAACAAATGACTAGACACATTACACTAGTTACTAACTAGCTTACAGCCGAAACTGTTGCTTACATGTCACACGCACACTTTGAAAACCGGGCTTCGGGATCCCAAAATAAACACTTTTTGATCGTATGTATGACAGCTTTACTCAGGTTATTACACTAGCTGTTGTGTGGAACGAACTGACAGCTGTTAAGAAACTATAAAGAACTCGTAGAAATATAGTAGTTCCCAGTGGGAAGTCCTATTTAGCCGTAAGCTACTTTACTCGTCATTGCTATAACGTCTTCTGATTGCAATCAGTGTTCATCTATTTTATCTGGTAAATAGTTCGGTCTGATATTTCACATTGGTAGCAGGTGCTGTGAGTTGGATTACGTCAACCTGTTGAGGATAAAGTTTATGATCACCATGAAACCACAGTCTAAATATGGCACATATTAAAACATGGTCTGAATCCAGATAGGTGATCTAGAAGGATGGACTCACAGTCCCGTATGTACATACAAATCATCGGTAGGTGATTCATGCCTGATTGATAGTGTGAGAAGACTGCTAGTTAGTAGTATGGTGACGGCTGTGTCAAAAGTTGGTACCAGCCAGAAATAGGTAACGACCCGCAGAAGAAAGTTCCAAATATCTGATCTGCAAATATAGACCCCCCCCACTGACTATCTAAGCCTAAATGCTCCACCTGCACATTCAAATCTCCAGCTAGCACCCTGATATCCGTCAAATATGCATTCTCGAGAATGCTTACTCAGTTGATAGTAAAACTCATCCTTTATTGGATCCGAGCTGCAATGTGCCAGTGAGCACATAGAGATGAAAAATAAGCACCACTGGTCGCATCTCATTCAGGTATAACCTTCCAACCAAATAGCACATTGACAACTATTAATGCGAATCCAGTTGAGCAGTGCAGCTTCAGTGCTTCGCACGTTACTGACACCAGCTAAGTCGGACGCCTACACTACAGGGGCTCCTGGATAAACGCGAGTGGTGCACACCATTCAAACTTTGAGATGACGTCCAAAGCACTACCCTGGAAAACCGAATGCGAGTCTCTGAAATGAAACGGACATCGACAGAGAGACTTTCTTAAGTTTTAATTGACAAGGTAGTGGAGCAGCATTTCAAAAATAGCCTGTGACCAGAAGAAGTTCACGTGCCATTCGATTTCTTTGAATTCTAAAGCCCATGTTCACGATAAGTTTGGATCAGTGTTTTTAAGTTTACCCTAGGGGATCTGCATGTTTACCAAGCAGTTGTAAGCACCTAACGTTCGCATTCATCCTTAGACTTTTGTGAAGAACATCATCGTTGCATGAAGGTAGTGAATGGGACTTAACTCGCAGAGAGGCTATGAATGCGTAATCACATCTGAGCATTTCGAAAGGAAGACTGAAGCCTACACACCCTTGGCATGAACTGGTTGATAGAAGTAAATTTACTGCAGCCAAACATTAGCTGTATATTTAAACGTCTGTGTGAGTTCCTTGAAAATTTAGACTGAACCATAGCCAACATAAACTGTGTTTCACAATTCTGTCATGATTTATGACTAAAAGTAATGTTAGGCTAATGAAAATCTATGTCAATCCAACGAGTTTCTAAAATGTTGAGGTTAAAATAGATCTTCTGAAATATTGCAAATGACAACGAAAAGGTACATCGAGAATATCGTCAACTAAGTTTATTTTTATTAATCGACAAAATCAGCACAAAATATACCATGCGATAGCACATGAAATACCTAACAAACATATCACTGTTGATTACTAATGAAAAAAAAATAAGAGCAATTTACAAGAACATACATACTACAACCTTAAACATACAAACACTACTCTAAATTCTTAGGCGTAGCGGTTGAGAAATAGACAAATATTGCACATACACACACACACACAACTTGTGGAAGTCCACTGTTTCAACATTATGCTTAGCAGAAAACAGAAAAAGCAGTTAAAATGTGTATAACAGCAAAGTTACTGCATAAAATACTTATTAGACTGATTGCGGTATCTGAAGTATGCCATAAAATTAAAATAAAGGCGGTATATTACAATCACATTCAAGCCTCCCACATGCAAAGATTTACACATACTGAAGCATTACATTAAGCTAGTACATAAGATAGGGTAAAGACACACACACACACAAACACACAGACACAGAATATGCACTTGTATGATATGACTAGGTTAGCGAAAGTATTTACAGGATGACAATATTACATATTCAGTTGTGAAGTGAATTAATAATATTGAAGAACAAAACAAGAAAGAAATAATAAGATCCCAATAAAAGAATTGAAACTTGTGAGCAATGTGGCAAATTTAGGATAACTGATATATATATATATATATATATAAACCAGGAATGAATAAGTATTGTGGAAAGTCATTATCAGGCATACATACATACACACACACACACACAGAACAGTACAAAAGGTTGTCTACAAATAAACTGAAAGTATCACAGTAAGTAAACAATGATAAACGTGACCTATCTAGGTTATATTATTACCGGAAAAAAAGGAATGTGTACAAGGGTCAAAAAGACTAGAAGATGGAATTGAACTGACAGTATGCATACCGCTTTGTGTACAAATCAGATTAATATTACCAGCCGAAATACAGTGCTTAGAATAAGCAAGATTATGCAAACACCGCCAGTCAGAATGTAAAGAGGTTACATTAGTCAAGGAACGAGTAGGTCGATTAAGATGAAAACTTTGTCGGTCGTTAATTGGAGTTCTAGATTCCTGTGAATCAACTGGTATGTGAGATTCTTTCACGGGAACCGGAGGAAATTGTTCATCTAAACATCCACCATCAGATGATAAAATGCATGATCTTTCCGAATCCCTAGTATATGTCCCTGAAGTGGCATCTGAAGATGACCTGGCAAAATAGAAAATTAAGAGATTACAAAACAAGCTTCAAGAAAATGAACAAAACACAGGCGAAAAGATACGAAGTTTACAGATCAACACAAATTTTGACCGTATTCATTGCACTTTATAAGACATTTAAACTGCTTAAATCATCACTGGTTAGCTAAATTTTCTATCGGCTTGAATGCATTGTGTTCACTCCATTTCATATTGTTTTATCATACAATTATGTCTGAGAAGCGCAAAGTATACTCAGGCATATTTTCAAATATCGCTACTAATTTTTTGACGGAAAATGGAGTAGAAACCCGATAGAACAATATCACTTCACAGTTAATATATTACCTGAAGATTCTGCACTAGGAGTAAATTCCCTACAATAAAAAACCTTCTGAAAATTCTGTACTGTGTAAAAACACAATTTTCAGAACAAAACTATTACTATCATTATTACACACTGTAACTCTAATAAAACGGTTTCCATTGCCAACCGTCCATGCCGGATATTAATCCAAGCAGTCAAGAAGGTAGATATATGATTGTCAACTTGACTAAATAATACACCAAAACATTCATTACAAGGCGCTTTCATTGCAACTCTCGTATAAAGCTAAGATTACAAAACTGCTATAATATTCTATTAATTTCTCACTGAAGAAAAAGGATTGATAACCAAAGGCGACTGACTATGACATAGGAGACATCAAGAATTTCACAAAAAACCAAAACGATAATCTCGATACGGTAAAACCAACTAGTGTTCAAATTAAAAGTTAACTGAGTAATCCTTTCTCAGTATAGCCGACATCTGGCAATTCAATAAGTAAGGGTACACAGAAGAAGAAAACAAATTAAAATAAAAACTTGAACTTACTGAAGTTGATTATCAGATAGTAAACTGCTTAATTCATCTGGAATTATTGATTTCGTGTTGATCAGAAATACATTCGACCGCTTCTGTTTTCTACAATTTACAGTATTCCCAGATGCATACGAACACTGATCACTATATTTAGACGATTTACCTATTAAATGAGTATTCTCATCAACTGACTGATAACTTGGAGTAGTGGAAACAGGACTTGTTGATAAGTTGAATAAAACATTACTACACATATTATTATTATTATCATTATTGTTAGTACTAGTAGTAGTAGTATTATCAGCTGTCACAGCTAGTTTTGTAGATTCTTCAAATCCTATCCCACTAAATGGTTTAACACATTCTTTACTTTCATTTGTTGACAATGGATATAATGAGTGTTTTTCAGGAAATACTGGCAGTTGATAAGACTCATATGAAGCCAATTTTGAATTTGATAAATTCTCTGTACACAGATGAGATGAGTAGTTTCCAGGCCAGTCGAAAGTTGATCGTGGTTGGAATAGTGTATTACCGTGAAGATTTGCTTGTTCACTAAAACGTTTTTCATGACCATAAAATTTATCACTGTTGGCATCGGGAAGACTTAATGGGATAGGTGAAGGTGTATAGGATGATATTGGTACGGCTGCAGCTGAAGCACTACGCATTGTACGAAAACCACTACCACTGACACTGTCAACTACAGCAAGACCAGTCAATGTAGATTCCGATATTATACACGTGCCTACATTTGGTTGGAACTATAATAAAGGAAAATACAACATAATCATAATCACAGTAGATAAATTTCAATAATTATGAATAAACTAACGTGGATAGCAGAAGCGACTATAGTGTATTATAAACGATATAATAAGCTACTGAGTTATTCAAAAAAGGTAGAACGACGTTTAGCCTTCGGCTATCTAACATCAGCCGACAATTCCATATTAGTTTGTTAATTACATGTATCACACAGTGTGAAACAGTATTATTTACTGGATGACGTTTCGAACAAAATTTATTGTTCATAATCATATCAATTGTAATCACACGACTTCGAAACTTGAGTTTTATAGTTTTCTTTGTCCTCTCCTATTTGTCGTAGGGATAGTAGAATTTTCCAGATGTCTGGGATGGGTGTTGAGTCGTTCCCATTACATGTGTTTGCAGTTGTTTCGACAAATAAAGTTTCCGTAATCAATCTTTCCCTCCACCCGGTTACATTACATTTTAAAACTGTCATCTTATCCCATCCTATTGTATGGTTCTGTGTAGTTGCATGTAGTGCTATAGCTGAACTATTCTCAAGATTTCTTATCTTATTCGGATGAAATAATCTAGATTTTGCTTGGTTTCTTACTCCGCTAGGCTTACTGACCCTGTTTTACTACTTTGACCTGACAGTCATTGCAGGCAGCGTATCAAATAAACTAAATTGTCTTATTTAATTGGTTCCACAGACAGCATCCTTTAACCAAAAAAGCATGTTTCTAATTGAGTTTGTGGGTTTGAATGCAGGTCACTTTTATTCCTTCACTGTTAGGAATTCTGCGTAAGGTTTCCGAGGTTCCTTCCTTGTATGGAATTACTACTGATAATTTATATTCCCTATTGTTTTTGCTGTCATTATCCTGTGCATGTTTGGCATGCATGTCGTCATTAATATTATTATTATCACTACTATCATTATTTATTTTATTTTTACATTTCCCTACATACTTTCTGACTAACTTATCAGGGTAATTATTAAGTTTCAAGGCTTCTCTTATATGCCTCACTTCCTGTCTTAGATTTTCCTTGGTAAATCCTTGGTCATTCAGTAAATAATACTGTTTCACTGTGTGATACATCTAATAAACAAACTAATATGGAATTACTTACTACCACAAGTATATTAATCAGCCGACAAGTCACAATAAATTAAAGGAAATATTGAATGAATGAAATCAACTCTAATGATAATAATGACAACGATGATCAAATTAGGATGAAAAATATCCAACTCAAAAATTTGTTTAAAAAACTGTATACCTAAAAGGCCGTTGTTTTAGCACAATAGCGAAAGGCGTGAATTTAAATGAGTTTTTTTCAAAGCCACAAATATGGCGTGCCGATAAGTGCTAACAAGCGTGATAGCTAACTTAAAAAAGACTAATCGGATATTAGGAGGATGTGATCCACTGGACAAAACACTCGGCTTATAGCCAACCGGTTCCAGATCCAAATCCCTCAACACCAAACTCAATCAGATGAATTGAATAGTACCATCATCAGACCGCACAAGTAAAGTGTGGTTGGTATCTCAGTTCACGAGGATCTGTTCCGGGTAATTGAATGCAAACAGTGGGTCATTAGTGTTGGCTATTATCGAAAATTAACATAATTACCGAAGCTGTCTAATATTCTTTGGTTCATTTTTTCTTATTATGATCAGTTTTACTCTGCTTACCTACTTCAACTATTACTGATATTGAGGCAAAGAAAATGGTACTTTGCTTGTTTTCACTGACAGAGCTTTTCACATCAATTTCAGATTTCATACTTGGAGCTGCTGCAGGATGAGGAAACTCGTCTAGTTTACTATGTGCTTCTAAGTTCGAGAAAGATAAAAAAAATTGGTAGTAGGACTAGCCACCACAAAGATACTAATACTTCAAAGGACATAAACAACAAACTTTTTCTATGTTGGAATTCGAAAGATTTCTCCATTGGTGGGCGAGTGATGCCACCTGACATAACCTTCGTGCAACCATAAGGACAAGAAATGTTTCAGACTGACTTGTAAGGCTTCTCAAAATAAAAACAAAATCAGAAGATATAATGTAGAAGTGTTAGGAGTCTATGAGAGCAGAAGTATTAGTAGTGGACTCTCGAAAATTTCAACATGAGACTTAACTATCTCCAATCGATATCGAAGATAGTCATCTAGAAACGATTACCCAAAAAGAAACTCTGCCAAAGAATCAACAAACAACCCATTGCCCTACAGATATGCAGAAGGAAGAAATGCATAGGGATTGCAAACACACTGAGGAAACTGATGACTGATATCACATCTCAGGCCTCAAGAGTTAGTTGCTTGAAGGGGATTCGATGAGTTGGGTGTCCGGTGATATGAAGGAAACCATATGATGAAGAGGAAAGGAATGCTTGTGGACAATCTCGGTGGAGTCAGTTAAAAAAACTACGGAAAACACAGTAGATTGAAGGTGTTTTCCTGAGCCTCTACTTTCCATTCAGAACAATAAATGACTACTGAAACTACTTAATAAATGCGAAGTCAGTAAAATGAATGGAATTGTACACTAAGATGAAGACTACTCACACACCACCTAGGAGTTAAGACAATCGGAAATTTGACCTCTTCTGACCAACCATGCATGAATAATTCTCAAGATTAGCGAAAAGTATATCCAGAAATTTATATAACATTCACACTTTGTTAACATGTCATTTTCTTATAAAAATATGCAATATATATATATACAATATTTTAACATATGAAAAACATTTAGGTAACCTACAGGTAATGCGTCTATTGTTGTGTTTGGTTTAGGTGGTTCATCTGTTAGAAAAGGTCGAATACACTCGGGGTAAGCTTTTAATATTTCTAACACCTGATTCATTGATGAAGGTCGATGTTGCCATTGATGTCGACAGCAGTGGTTAATTAATTCACACCTTTAAAACAGATTTTTGTTCATGGAAAAAAAACAAAAGAGAAAAAACATGAAATAAAAGTGAAAATTAGTCAAAACAAAGAAACTGGAATTTTCTTTGATTATTAACGTATTTATCATATAAACTGTAGATAGGTCTAACCCTACAGCTTTCATATGTCATGTTGAAAAAAGAAAAACAACCAACCAACCATCCAAACAGGCAGACAAAGATTAATGGCGCTAATTTTCTTCTGATAACAACAAAAAATTATTCAGTAATAGAAAAACTTCACATAAACGTTTGCTTATATATATATATATATATATATATATATATATATATATATATGAGAATTCATCAAGTTAAACAATACATGTATAATAAAGTGGTTAATGAAATTATTACAAATATATCAGCATTCTAATGATAAATTTTACACCTACACAACAGTATTCAATGCCTGAGATGGTAAAAATTCAGTTATACTGAATTCCATACGTTTCACACGTTCAACTACTTCAACATCACCTAAACCATTATAAGGGAAAACACCGAAGGTGATGATCTCATATAAAGTTATGCCAAACGACCAAATATCTGACTGAATGCTGAATACACCGAATTGAACAGCTTCAGGAGACATCCAACGAATAGGCAGTTCACCTAAAATACAATATGCAACAATAATAATAAAAATAGTAATAATAAATAATAATTTAAAAAATTTTTATTCCTTTACGTCCCAATGGAACATAGGGCTTCAAGCTAGAGACTTGAATTTTCGGCAGCAGTGGTGTTTATTCTTACGGGATGAGGTTGCTAGCCTCCTGCCCAACCTTCCACATTCAGCACTCTTATTACTGTCTTAGCGAAGTAAAGGAATGAGTCCACTGGAGATCGAACCCCGGACCACTTGTATGGTTGGCGAACATTCTACCGCCATGCCACCGATGCACGATAATAATAATGATGGTGCACACAAATAGTGGGAAACAAATGACTATTTGGTTTGGTTAATCTATCACAGATGTGTTGTATTCCGTTAAAATAAGTAGATCGTTATGTCTTGTATGGCATTTCTCGTTATATATATATATATATATATATATATATATATATATATATATATATATATATATAGACAATACGTAGCTTAATAAGCTAAATGAATAAATTGTTTGACTTGTACCTATACTTATTCAGATATTAAGGTTAAGGCAAAAAAACGCATATTTAATATCAGGCATATATAAGTGACTTTTAGAAAAAAAAGGCGACCAATTAAGACGACTAGACACTGGCAGTGTTGAAAAGACTTTATTTACACTTGACAGCAAAAGCCAATTAAATAGGAAGCTAATATAACACAGAATAGATTATCATTATCTTGAGTAAAAAAAAACTATCATTAATGTACAAATAATAACCATCCCTACACGACTGAAACATAAAAATTTTGCAATAGTCAAACAGTATTACGAGTGTCGGGTGATTAAATCAATAATAATAATGTTAGAAGAAGAAGAGACTAAGAAATTTAGGATTCCCGAATTTGTAATCTTTTTCTTTTATTAATTGGATTTCAAGTGGAACACAGGGCTTCTGGTGTTGAAGTCTCGTCTCAGTAACAGTGGTGAGATTACAAGCCCCTCACGCTTAGCTTCTCCTATTTTCTGAGCTTATTACTACAAGCCAGTGAGGCGAGGTTTAAGAGTGCGGCGCCATCAAATCATATCGGTGCCTGAACTCGTCCACATGCTTGACGATCACTGAGCCGTCTACGTATATTGTGTAATTATTGAACAAAATGAAAGACAGTGTACTTGATGCAATGCAGAAAACTATGGGGAAGCAGGATATAAGATAATGATGTCGATGATAATATCAAAATGAATTAAATTAACATGCTTTCAGTCCATCCATAGATGACTTTTCTGTAATAATTGTTTGTTATTTACTTAAACGACTAGCGAGTGTTAGCATTATATACCGAATATCATACTGATGATGGGAAATTGTATCTATTAATTGCAAACGTTTGGAAATATAGGCACACGCACATGGAGACAGGTATCAATATACAACCATCTGTGCATGTACTTTGATAACATACACGCACACACACACACATACTATAGTGGTCAATATACTTAAACACTGTAATTTCCACACTAGACACATACAAAGATATGTACACAAATAAGATTTTTTTTACAGTAACTTACAATTCCTTGTAAACCGATAATAAACTTCAGAAGTATTCTTGGCCGCTTGTCTAGTCAAACCGAAATCACCAATTTTCACAGTACGATCTGCACTGACTAGACAATTTCGACAGGCTATATCTCGATGAATTAAATGTTTACTATGAAGGTAGGCTACACCTTGACCAATATCTAAACTCATTTGAGTAAGTGTTGATGGACGTATATCTTCATGATTTGGTGATCTGTTTCAAAAACACGAAAAAAAAGATTAGAAATAAATCAAATAACGTTGTGGGGTAAACCCAGCATTATACTAAACACATGGAATGTTGAAACACCAAAACAATCCGTTTATTTTATTATTATTATTGTTACTACACTAAAGTAACATAAACTAAGGTCATGCTCTAGTTAGTTATATATATATAATGCAATACAAAATATCAAAATGTTTGGCTTTAATCATCATAAAAGCTAGAATCATTTACCAGCTAAGTAGACATATGGTAAATAACGCCATATTTATGCCAGATAAGTTCATAACCCTTACCAAAAAAATAATAATCTATACCACCAATGTTTTGACGATTATTTCAGGAAAGAAAAAAATCATCAAAATAGATCGAGATGTGGCGAAATCTCAGCAGATTGACAGGTAGGATGCAACAGAAGATAAAAATAAAAAATGAGACCTGAAGCAAGAAGTCGAAAGTATCAACTACCTCAATCTGAGTATAATGAACTAACTATCCCTGAATCACAAAAGAAATGAGGATCAAGAAGCTGACCATTTGGTTTATCTTATCTCCAATTTTACGCTAGTAAAATTACTGAGCACTGGATTGTCAAGTCAGTGGTTTGATAGCGATATGCTCAATCCGTAATTTAAAGGTCTTGCGGTGTGTGTTACCACTGATATTATCATGGATGCGCGGTGTTGAAAAGTTCTAAAGTTCCTAATTAACACATTCAGTCTCTTACTAAATTTCGTTTCGTAACGAAATCTACCTTCGAGATGTTATTCAATTCCCCGAAGATATTTCACCTTAGTTTCTTTTAAAAAAAAACAACCTTGATGACTAGTTGGTTGTCTGTCGAATTAACAGTAAAAACAGATAAGGCAACTAAGTTTTAGCCAAAAATAAAATTAAAAAATAGGAGACATACTCTTCCTTGTCATTTAACGATGGATTAATTTTACACAATTTTCTCCAGAGTTTGTTGAAAAAAATTTCTTTTATCCTGAGAATATATTCTTACCAGGTATTTTAAATTGTCCTTATTTAATTTTCTATTTTAATGGATTACTAAGTTTTTAAACTTTACCGGTTGACATGTTCAGATTGAATCTGAGGTGAGTAAAAACAACAAGTATTAATAGTTGAAGATATGAGGGGTTTCACTAATAGCATGATGGGTGGCAAAACATTTATGCTACTATCGGATATTATTTACTCCCTTGGTTTCCAAGTGGAGCACATCTTTTTTTCTCCCATCGTCTGTAGCTGACTCCACCAAGATTGTCCACAAGCATTCCTTTCCTCTTCATCATATGATTTCCTTCATATCACCGGACACCCAACTCATCGAATCCCCTTCAAGCAACTAACTCTTGAGGCCTGAGATGCGATATCAGTCATCAGTTTCCTCAGTGTGTTTGCAATCCCTATGCATTTCTTCCTTCTGCATATCTGTAGGGCAATGGGTTGTTTGTTGATTCGTTGGCCGAGTTCTTTGTTGCTAATAGTTCCTGGCTATCTGATCTTTAAGATGATGCATAGTAAGCGCTTCAGCCATAAACTTAAAACCTAAACAGATCAGGGGATTCTACTAACGAGATTGTAACATGAGAAAATTCAAGTGAAGCGAAGTTTACACGGAGATCGAATAGATTTATATATTTTGTTGTTTGACCTAAGTAAACAATTTGTTATATATTGGGAAAACAAAAACACGTTTACACTACTTATAAACAATAACACCAATTCATTAGAAATTCAGTCGAAGAAAAAAATGAAAACTTTTGCCATCAAAAAAGAATGTGTTGTTTTTGTTTTCGTTTTTTTACCTTTGTGCTAAAATTCGACGAGATAGTAAATATGTCTTCAGATCACCGAGTAGCATAAGCTCCATTATCAAGTATAAATTAGCTTTTGGATTTAATGAAATACCAATCAAACGAACTACATTCGGATGATTCAATGAACGCATCAATTTTGCTTCAGACAGAAAATCAATTTTTCCTTCATAAGTTGCTTTTTCATTTATCACCTTTACAGCGACGGCTTCCCATAAATCATTTTTCTTCGCTTCACCACCGAATACTAAACCGAATGCACCTTGACCAACTCGACGATTAAGTACAATATTTTCAGCAGGCATCTATTGAAAATATAACGTTGAAAAAAGAAAGGAATTAGGAGATTTAAAATGACAAAATATAAATAACATTTTTAGTCAGTGATTATTTTTATTCTGTGATAAAATTTACGTATTTTAATAAAAAAGAATGAGCATTTCAATGAAGTTCACAGTCGGCTTCAGTGATGAATTACACATATTTGAGAGAGTAAGGGAAATGAAGTGTACATTAACATTAAATGGTATTATATTCTTGTATGACTAGAATTCAGCACCTTCTAACTTCAAAAAAACTTTCTTAAGCTACAGTACCTCGTATAAGTCGTCAATATATAAAAATGACAGCAAACTATTTCATATCGAACGTTTCATATTCAATTTACCCTCGATCACATTCTTTTAACAGCTGGAAACTAAGTGAACAAGAATGAAAGTGTAAAGCATTTATCCAGTAAAACAAAACCTGCAAACTTCAGATTTGCAAAGTGAAAGACTAGGAATATATATTTATTTTCAAGTATTGGTTTGGTAGGGATTTTGTTTAATTGCATGGAGGATTTCATCATGATGAAATCCTCCATATATATTTATTGTTATTTATTTAAGCACAAAACACTTGGTACACATATGGCACTAAGAAGATAGTAATAAAACGACATAGATTAAGAGTAAAAAATATAGGTAGAGAACGCATAAAAACGGATACTTCACCTGGAAGGAAAACAGTCATATTTAACAAGACCAAAGGTCAATCATCAAATACCGTCGGAAAGGGAAGAAAGAAGGATATTGCAGCAAGTTCTTCATTGATCGCGATTCTTAGCCATATCCGATAACGTTTCGGGTCGCTCACTCGAGCTATCTCTCGGACTCTAACCAGGGAGTCGTGATTTACCATCCATGCTAACCTAACATAAATATCCTTCATCCTACGATTTCACGTCAGACGCTGACTATCTCTCCGCTTTCTCCATTCAGTCACAGGGCTAGCGAACAGAGAACGGTACGGAAGCCTCTGGGATGACATTCGGAGCACATGTCCAAGTCACCAAAGTCAATGTTTCCAGGTGACGACACTCAATCCAAGTACACGCCGCTGGAACTCAGAATTACTCAAGCGATGATACCATCCAAAGCAGGCAGTCCTACGAAGACAGTGACGGACGAATACGCAGAGTCGCCAGGTTTCACAGGCGTAGAGCAAGACATCACGCACCAAAGCATTGCAAACCCGACCTATGACAGCCAGATTAACATCGCGACGGTGCCACAGGTGGCTCAAGTTGACGTATGCCACCCTAGCTTTCATGATACACTTGGAAATCTCCTCTGCCATACCCCGCCAGCACTCCCACAACAACCCAGATTAACGAACTTATCGACAGCTTCAAGCGGTTCACCTGCAAGAGTGAGCTCTAGTACAGGCTCCTGACAATCTTGTAACAGTACCTTGCACCTGAACACCGTAAGGCACACACCAAACTTACAGAAACTGAACACCAACTGATTAGACGCGACTTGGGCAGCCAGCATACTATCACACAGCAAAACAATATCGTCTGCATACTCGAGGTCAAAAAGTCTCTCCTGGAAACAGATTAACACCGTCACCAAATACGTCCTTCAGAGCCGACTCCAGAATGTCATCGATGGCAAAGTTAAAGAGGAATGGAGAGACTGCGCAACCCTATCTAACCCCACTGTTGGTTTGGAACACTTATGATAGTTGGTCGTGTGCCCTTACTCTACCTGAGGTATTTCTGTATAAGGCTTTCAGGATGTTGACAAACTTCTCAGGTACACCCTTCTCTAACCGACAGTTCCACAGAACAGTTCTAGGGATATGGTAAATGCTGAGCAGAACAGATCACATGAAAGCATTGAAAACATTGTTTTATAGTCAGACTAATGTTAAAATATAAAACATGAGTTGACTTATATTGTTGACAGAAAGTGTACGAAAACATTGAGGCCGACAGTGAATTCCTATGACTCAAAGGTACTTATCACACAGATACTGGACTGTTAACTAATGTTGTGGTGTGCGCTACCGATGAGATTTACGATTAGCATATAAAGAAACGTTCATCGACATAAAAAAATATTAAATAGCAGAGAGTTAGATTTGTCGTCCAAAAAAAAAGAAAATAGTTCAGCGCTGCGGCGAAACATGGGAGACAGGAAAAGAAGACAGACAAACACAATACGAAGGGCAGAATTAGCAAACCATGGAAGATCTGTGCAAATGATGCGTTGAAGATAAAGTGTACATAATTCGGCTACACAGAGATATCAAATTCCAAATAAACATTCCGTTACCAAGTCTTGTGTCCTCTGATGTTACAATGTAAGTAATATTTTCATCAATTAACTGGACTTGAAGATTGCTGTATTCTCAGAATTCTTTGCGTTAAACAGAAATAATAACCAGGGGACTGACTTTGAAAGCATCTTTCAGAATAATACTGACTTTTTTCGAAAAATAGACGTTATTTACTTACATTTTTTTGAGGAAACTCAATTGACATTAGTGTTCACGGGCTTGTAAAGTGACTGGAAGAAACGAAGATAATAATTAACTCGGGGTTTAGTAGTAGGGGGTTGCGAAACAGTAGCGTTGGAATTCCGTATTCATGAATAGTTATCTTTGTCAATGGTTCAGCTACTTTACAATACTGAATTCTATATCATGTAAACCTATGGTTTATGGCCAACGGAAGAACAACAATTGTGCAACAGATCTTTATACTGCAAGTGCTATTATACCTTTAAAGTGTCATTTTATTATAATTCATATTTAGGACATTCACTGGTGTGCATAGTATTAAGAGTTTATGTTATGATAAGAACAATAATAACTCTCTCTGTCTCTCACTTCAAACAATCTACTCAAACCTAAGAGGCCAATGAATCAAACTACTCTACTGACTCATAATTTTTTTTTTTTTTTTGATTTACAGCTTGATTCCACACCGTATTTTCAGTACAAGTATGGAATTTTCAGCATGGATATCGGTAGCCCAAATTCAGGCCGACCATAGATATCGGGTGTGCGCCGGCAGGGGATCGAACCCCGGACCATGTGCATGGTCGGTGAGAGTCCTAACCACTGTGCCACCGACGCACATGTATGCAGTTTGGGTGTCTACGACTATCATATACATACAAACTGATAATAATGAAGTTAGTGTAGGTAGAACCAATAGTCCAAAAATAGTACTGTCAATAAGACAGTCTGTAATAATGATTCGCCTAAACCTTTGCTTGATATTAGCGATAGACAACAAAATTTGATGTTTAAAAAAAAATGAATAAAGAAACGAAAACACCAACACAACTTACATCTAAGTCAGCCAATTCAGCACACAATTCTTCAAATGGTTTTCGTGTACGCTTTTCAATCTCTTTCAATTTACGCCGATAGTAAAAATGAGCGAAGACAATTAACGGGAAAAGAACTAGCACAGTAACGGTAACAGTAACAAAGACAGTAGCACCGGTACAACCCATACGTAGTTGATTACTAAGAAATGCTAATGTACAGTTTTCTTCATTAATTGAACCATCATTCGGTGGACCGCCTAAAGTGTGCCAATTCACATGATCTAACCAACGTTCAGTCATTCGTTTTTGAAATTCATCATAAAGAAATGGAGCATTAGTTGTCTTCCAATCGTATTTATTTGACATATTATCAGATGTGAGTATATGACTGAATGGATCGTAAGATTGAGAATTTTGTTGCTGTTGCTGTTGATCTTGTTCTTGAGTCTCTTCATAACTTTTAGTTGACCACATAATAATGGGTACAGTAGTATTAAAATGTCTTTGTTTTAACAACCAATAATCTGCAATTCTCTCATTATGATCATTAAATCGTAAATTTGATGCTGATGCAGGACTTTGACTACGGATACCATAGTAATCACCGGCCAACTGAAAACCAGCATCTACACCAAAATTATCATCATTAATACCTGCAACAAGTCCATCAACTTCATTCGATTGACCTGTAGTCGAGTCACCAGTTTGAAAACGATAACCAAAATTAGTTCGAGCAACAAGAGATCTGAGAGTTTCAGAAACCTCTGGATGATTGAGGGCAGATGCAGCAGCAGGATTTTCTCTTAAGAGATGAACAACAGCACTGGCTAATAAGATCACAGCATCATATGTGTATACTGTATAATCATGTAAAGGATCTTTAACTAATCTGCGTTTTGAATGATCACTGAATGAAGTTTTCCCATCATCATTTGATTTAGGATGATGTTTTGTTCTGGATAAAACAGGCAACTCTCCTAAAGCTTGTGATTGAACAGTAACATGACGACGTCTACGTTGGAGTTGTTCAGGCATAGATGTCCGATTCACAGTAGCATTTGTATTATTTCCAGATTTTGGATCAGAATCCATAAATTCACTTGTACGTGGTATAAAACTGTGAACCATAGGACCAATTAACAACTGATGGCCAACAGTAAACGTCCATGAAGTAATATTAAGCATCTCATTAAAAGTACATTCTGAATTACGATCAACCAATCCCGACCACCATTGATCAGAAAGCCATGGATTTAAAAACCAAACATAACCAGCAGAGAAATGCATGCCTTGATGATAAGCTGCACAGAGTATTAAATAGGTACCACGTGCATCATATTCAACAACAAATATACGACTGTTTTGTTGTTTCAGTTCTTCTAATGTCTACGAGAGGAAAAAAGAATATTGTACTTACATTATGTGTCAATGGACAATAAGGTATGAATAAAACATCATATTTCTAGATATAAATCACTAATTTCAAAAAGAAATACTGAATGAAAATTTCTAGTAAGGTTGTTTTACCGCAGATTACTGAGATCTTACTGCATATTATAATACAGTGAGAATGTAAGCATACAATCCATTAAAGTTAGAAAATTCTCGTGAATATATTTCTGAAACAACAAAGCCAATAAAATGCAAATCGGTACCTTTATGAGTTAACTAAATATTTAAAATTGTCGAATTTATAGAAGCTCTCCAATATTTCCGTTCCGTGTGGGTTATACTGTAACAACAGAAGGCGAGACACAGAAGCCAAAGTATATTTTCCATTGATCAAACCACTGTTTATGTACATACAGTTTATATTCGTCAGCCAATCACTGAGCGAGTGATTTCGGTTTACGTCAAGCAACATGGAATAGAATGTTCAAATAGATATATCGCATTCTGTTGTTAATGGCAAATTGAACTGTGGGAATATGTGAGAATAATATATTCCGTCGGCACACATTGTCTGTATCACACCACCACAATATACAACTTCAAAGCTTGAAGTTTCGGTAGCAGTGTTGTTGTTTTTTCTGTTTTATTTTTTTTTTTAACGCTAACCTCACACTTAACCTTCCTTCTTTTTCAGGCTGACTACGACTCGTAAAGCTAGTAGAGATTTAGGAGAGAGTTGATCAGAAATGCCACATAGACGCACCACTCGCGTGACTGGCAAATATTCCCACCACTCAAACACCAATACATGATAGTCAATATTTTTTTCTGGAAAAAAGACCCACTTTAGTTAAAAAGTAGTGTGTGTTGAGATGAGTGTTATCGTATATTTTCTTCATCCTTGTGCTTTAAAAGCCAGAGAAACGACATTAATTAGAGTGTGGGGTGTGTGGTTAAGATGTTTAACTCTCAACACAATGACTAATGAACGATTCATTTCCAGTTAAACAATCCTCAATATCTAGATGGTATTCTTAATTACACTTGCTGCAAGTAAGTAGTTCATTATCTCGTATATATATATATATATATATATATATATATATATATATATATTGGTGGAAGTATAGTTTAATAATAAAAATGCTTGAGTATAGAGGTCTGATTTTGACATGTATATGCATAATTGCATTTTGAAAGGTTAGATAGTAACATTAGTCCTCATAATCTTTGTTTGAACTCAGTTATCAATGGAGAGATTTTTATGCACCAAGCTACTAGCCCCCCCCCCCACACACACACATTCTACGACAGTTGAAGTTACTACCCCAATTTTGCAGACTGAAGTAGGTGGTGCAGGACTTGCAATCCACCGACTGCAGTAAGTTGGGTGCTTTAAACTAATCAGCCACACCTTAGTCCTCTTAAACAACAGATATAATTTACACAACGAAGTGATCGCTTTTCTTACACAGTGACTATAAGGATAGGCACATATTCTAACAAGGAGAAAAAAAACCTAACTATAATCACTGACCACCTCACACACAAAGCATGTAATTGCCTATAAATTTTATAGGTAATACTTGTAAAAAAACACACACACACAAAGATACGTACATCTTTCGCCAGCTTATAAGTTAACTGTTGTTCATCCATTTCAATGTTAGCTATAATTTCTATTCCTTTTGCTTGAAATAGTAAAGGTTCGAAAAAATGATCAGATTTACGAAATACAACAATTCGATGCCAACCCCATATTAGAAATAATCGAAGTAATATAAAGCTGAGAAAATAAAAATAAACATTAGAGGGGGTCATGATAAAATTAAACACAGTGCATCTTTTAATCGAATATCATTTGAAATTATATCAATAAAAAAATATCAATTCTTTGGATTGGACACTAGTCAGCGGCTAGTTTGCGATATGGCCACCACCATTCTAGGTGGCTCGTCATCACAGTGGACTTTGAATTCTTCATATAAAATGGTTGGAGGCTATTAGCAGGAAGCTCTGGCAACTTGGTTTGGACATGTATAACTACCTCACCTAGGTTTCCTGCTATTTGGCACTTACCAGTCAGCAAGGCGTATCTGCAACCATGATGGAACTCATGTCCCCTCTGAGATTCGAACTCGCGTCACCCAGTGCTGCACTCTGAGACGTTATCACTCACATTACCTAGGTTCAATGCTTCCTGCCGATTGCCTCCAACCAACCATCCAATATCAACAAATTTCAATTTCTCCGATACTGATTATCAATCAAGTTGTCATTTTAAATTTTCAACGCATAACTATGCAGTAAATCAAGTTACACATCTCAAATAGCCCGTAAAGGTGGAATAAGAGAAAAAACACAAATACACTATCATGAAAGGGGATGTAGAGAAGAAAGAATCAGTTTATAGACAACAATGAGAGTTTGATGTATCTACTGGTTCATAAGTGCGTCGGTGGTATAGCGGTTAGGACGCTCGCCGACCATGCACATGGTCCGGGGTTCGATCCCCGGCCGATGCACTCCTCTAACTCGCTAAGCCAGAAATAATGCTGGTGAACAGGAAAGGTTGGGCATGAGGCTAGCAACCCCATCCTGTAAAATAAGCACTGCTACAGAAACTTCAAGCCACTAGCTTGAAGCCCTGTGTTCCACTGGGGAACGTGAAGGAAAAAAAACTGGTTCATAAAGAGTAAATATGTCTGAAACATCAATAGCGATGTCACCAACAGCTCCAAATCATTGGTCCTAGCGTCTAGAGGACACCAGACAGACACAGATAGTCTACACATCCTTACATAGCTCAAATCAACAGTCAAAGACTTCATGGATTGATGCAAGGTTTTGATCTGATTACTTCTGACTCTTTTCCGAATTTACCCGATGTCGACTAAGATTTCTGGCTGAAGGAAGCGATGGCTTGGTATGAATAGCACATGTCTGATAGGACCCAGCATAAAATAGCATATCGTGCTTTCTCAGAAATCATGGAGTTACTATGTTGATCTATCACTTCTAACGCATATTGTGATTTAGTGTGTGATCAATTCATCGTCTTTTGTCTCACCTTGGTCTTTGTCGGATCACCAACCAATCAGAATAGAAATTTCTAGCCAATAAGAACAGCCCATTTTGACTGTATTGTGATAAATTAATTATACAAATATGATGATTTGTTTTCCAATAGATGTGCAATATAATATCTTAGTCCCAAGCCAGTCTTTGTCTTTTGATGTTTGCATGGCTCAGTGAATCGAAAAGTACAACGGACAAATAGGCATATTAGCGTACCAGCCAAGTTGATTGCCATTCTAGTAATTAAGAGGCGCAGACATAACAAAGTAGCAACGGATTTATTCAGTTCAGTCGTAACAGTGTCCTAGCTATTTTAATCAGTGAAGCTGCACAACTTCATCGACTGTATAATCCACCTCACTTAATTTTACACCTCACCTCCATATTACTCATCTTATTATACCAGTTAACAGGAGAGATAGACCGGAAATACCCATGGTGAAAAACAGCTTTGCCTCGCAGCTACGAAGAAGGACAGAGCAAACTTCTGTGCAGCACATATCTCCTTCAGCCGACAACCAGATATCACGTCCACGTTAGAGACGACATAAGTTAGCAAATGCCACACAAGCGGAACACTTGCCAGCGGATTTGGTGTTGTACGGTGGTTTGCAACAACAGTATCTCATACCTCAATTAGTAAAATACTATTTGGATGCTACCGCTTCGAATACTGTCACAATTTTAATCTACTATCCAAAGTTCTTCAATCAGTCACTCAACTATGTATAACGTTTTTCGAAATATACAATGAATTGCACACTCTAGTCCACATCCCAATATTTTTGTCTATTGTTTTTCAAAATTTTTGATGTATATTCCACTGTGTATGAACAATGGGGAACGTTTTAATTCCATGTTTAGTTTATGTAGACTATTATTCAAAATAAAACCGTTTTTCCGATAACATGCAATCACAAAAATACAATAGGAGAGATATTGTTTAACTTTTACATAACAGTTTTGCATACGGGTAGATTGATGAATTAGCCGGCAACAACGTTATGTTTATGCTGTATGAAAAAGGTTAAGATTAAAAAATAAAATAAAAACTAGCTTAAGAAATTACACTAAATTTACGACACACCGCCAGCCCTATACTTTTTAAATTTGATCTATCAATTCTAATTTTGAAGTCAATTTTTTTTCCACTAAACATCCGACAGATGCTTAAAATAAGGCATAAAGCTCACGCCAGAAATTCGTTTTCCCAGCGCTGGTCGAAAACTTATTTCCTTTAGGATGTTCAATAACGAATTTACAAAAATTTAAAACCTTATGATATTAGGGGCAACATATTAGGATTTATACGGGTTAAAAGTTAGAAAAAAATTTCGATCAGTATGCAAAGTTATTTAAGGCAGACACATCTGGTTGTCAGTGTCATTTACTACCTACGATTGTTCGCAATGAGGATTTCATAGATATGCGCTTTAATCTAATCAGTCGAATCATGCAATTATCACTGTCCTTGATTACCTGACCAGGAAGTTTATGCATAGGTTAAAACAGTAGTAGCGCATTGCCTAAACTTGACGCACTTAAAAAAGGCGAGAAAAAAAGAAAGCAAAATAAAGAGTCGACACTATATTGGACAGACATGAATATAAGAGACAGGTTAATTGAAACAAGAGTAGTCACGCTGGAATTTTTTACGAATGGATTTTAAGCACAGCATCCGGTGCATCCCGAAAACTCCAGACACTCTAGGCTTTTCTACTATAACAAGACCAACAGGCAATTACTTTATTAATGGGAATCATGTTCTAGTCTAAGCACTCACAAATACCATCCAAAAGAAACATACAGCCCAGTCTGATGAAGCTTCGTAATCAAGTTGGTCTCTTCAAACTCCTTACCTAACGCATATAACTCCATCACTGCTAACCATATGCCTCATTTCATTCGAATAGAGAAGACTTCAGTAAACTCTTCTTTAGGCCGTCAAGTGCAAGTCGAATTGATGTGTAGAAGATTCGTCACCTGAAACATAGTCGCCAGTGTAAGAAATGACCCGATTTGAAATATTCCGAACATAGACTTGTGCATTACTATTACTCATTCCTTCAGTTCTGAGTGGAACACAGGGTTTTGGCAGTACAACTCCACAATACTTCATCTCTGTTATTATTTTAAACTGGCTTCACAGGAGCACCCGCAAGCTTTCTATCTCTCTCAGGTGTTATCTTCATATTTTATTCTTGGAAGACCGACCAGTTGCTTCCTTTTTGGGTTCTACTAGAGGGCCTGGCATGAAATGCCACTTGAAAGTCTAATCATCGCAAATCAAATCTGTCTGTATCACCTCCTGCACGTTTGCTTGGTTTTTCGCTGGTTTACTGTTGCTCATCCCCTTCCCAGTCGGTCATCTGATCTTCAGTATCGAGGGAAGACAGTTATTGACGAAAGTCTCCAGTCTTTCAGAAATACTTTTGGTGAGGCACATGCGAAGACGCTGAAACAAACAGAAATTGTCTGTAGAAGTCCCTCCCTCGCCTTTAGGTCTATGTTGTTTGTAGGTACGTAGTATTGTATAATTATAAATTTCATTCCGTTTGAATTGAATTTTGCTTTTATTATCCTGAAGGAAATTGGTTTCTACTGGATGAGCCTTCGATGCTGTTGGTGACATCGTATGGTATAACTAAACTGTTTGAATGGCGAAGATTCCACTCAGTGCTAACATGCAAAAACCCTTGGAAATTCATTCGGTGATTACATATGTGGGACAAGAAGTACAAGCTACATGATGTTAATAACCATTACAAACAACTTTACAATGTATAGCTAGTTGATTACATAACACTTTTCGAATGAAATATTTATTTATTTATTATCCCCTTGGGATCCGAGCGGTACATAGGGCTTCAACAACACATCTCCACCGTGTTCTACTTCCTGCCATCTTCTTCACCTGGGTCCACAATTGCCCATAATCTCTCATGTCCTCCTCCAACTCACACGATCTCCCCAATGTCACCCTAGCACGACGACCCAGTCCTCGCCTACCATTCGGATTCCACTCGAGAAATGGCCTGCATTGCGCGCGATGTCATTAGATGGCCTCTTTAATGTATGCCCGATCCATCCATCTCCACTTTCTCCTACAAATTTGTTGAGCAATCGGCTCCTGATTGGTTTGTTCCCGATCAGAGTTTCTTGTTACTTATTCTTTCTAGCCATTTGATCTTCACTATGGAGCCAGCGAAGGCAGCTGTTGATAAAAGTCTGCAGTAGCCTATTGAAAATCCTTTTCGTAGCATACACTGCAAGTTTCTGACCTGTATAGAAGGCAGACTTGACATTTGTGTTGAAAATCCGAATCTGGTTTTTTATGTTGAGTACAAATTTCCAAACTGGTTTCAGGTTGATGAAGGCGTATCTTACCTTTCCGATTCAGCCTCGCTTTGACATCTTCATCCGTTCTGTCGCCTGTAGTTGAAACGATGCTTACTGGATAAGTGACGGAAGTTACCTCTGTTAAATCTCTCCCGTTGATGGTGATTGGTGCTGGTTGTTGTTGTTACTGTTGGTTGAAATATATTCAAACATGACAAATCTAAACATACAGTCAAAATGAATACACTGTCATCTTAAACTGCTAAGCTTTATCAAGAACTGTAAAGTAGTGTATATTTTGACAAACTAACGCTCAAATCAACGTTCAATAGTGTAAGACTTTGAATAGTACGACGCACTTATCAGTATGGAATAGCAAAGTTGAAGTTTAGTTTCAAAAAAAGAGAAACTTAAATTCACTTACTTAGCTAAGGTCATTGACGGTACTGTACGGAAAAAATAGTGGTATGGTTGTTGTTCCAGAAAACGTGCACTACCCACAGTTGGACTGACAATAATCTGTTTTCGGATATTTGCTAATTCTACCACAGCTTCTATTGAATCTGAGCATAAAGCAGCTTCGGACAAAAAAAAGGTAGGTGAAAAGTTAAGTCAAACAAGTTGCAAAAATTACCAAAAATTTGAATGAGACGAAAGAGTACCAGCATATAGTTAGGCAATCTATCTAGGCAATTCAAAACAATGTGCGCAGAATAGTATTCTGATTGTAATATTTCAGTGGTTGCTTTTTAACACAGATACCCGTAATAATTAAACTGTGTGATCTACTCACCTTTACTATAACAGTGGATCCACACTAGTTTGCTCATTTAAATAGGTAACAATGATGAAACCAAACTAAAATAAAATTAATTTTCTGAAAATCCCTGAAAAAAATGTGTAGAATGCCTTCCTCCATACTAGTAATATCCTCGGCGGTCCGCTTCAATCAATGAACTACCACATTTTCCATCCATCAAACTGTTTCAACCTACCACCACTGTGGATCTTTTTTTTGAAGGTAATGGTGAAAAAGCGTAGCATCTTGTATCAGAATGTGCGCTTTGGAAAGAAAAATATTGATTCAAATGATATATTACCCATTACTAATATAGAGAGCAAATGGTTTGCAATAGAATATGCTGAAAATTCTGGAGTACGTACTAACGCACTTTTCAGAATACAATAATTATTACTTAATATTATACGCAGGTTCTGAAAACTTTGAAGCACTAATAAACAGATGTCAAATTACAAAGAACCCATTATGGTGTTGAAAATAGATTCAGATAGTTCCTTTAAGCAAGGTTACCAAAACAATTTAGCACTGTGATATAGACTATTTTTGTCAACTCCATATTCTCTCCATATTCAATTGAAGTTACGTCTCTAATAAGCAGAGAAGGAAGGACTTTGAGTGAAGACGGAGGCGATGAAAAGAAACCAACCAAACAATAACAAGTACCCATCACCACAAACCGAAAAAATTCGAAAGTCACTTTCTTCACCTATCGAGGAATCATCATTTCAGCTACAAACACACAGCACAAATGAGGATTTTCTGTAGTTTGGTTTGTAAGGGTTAGTTATGTTTTTACGAGTTGATCACGAACTGATATCAGTTAGAGAACCATTGAAAACCAGGGAGTACTGGACAGCTGTTTCATCCGAGTTTTGGGAATCATCAGGAGTACGCACCAACTGGGATTCGAACCTAGGACCTTCCAGTTACAAGGCAGGCTGGCTTGTATACCATTCAGTCACTGGGACCCGATTCAATGGCTCATGAATTCTAACTTTAACTCGTAAAAGCATGACTAACCCTTACAAACCAAACTATAGAAAATTAATCTGATGCTCGCTAGTGACTTGCTACAGGATGGAGTTTCCTGGAGTTCTAGTGAGAAGTCGTGATCAGTGAGGTCCAATTAGATGTCACGTGTGTGGATGGATGTCCCACCAACGACAATGGTTGGTCGGGGGTAGGTGCCTTGCGCTGCGGGTTGGCCACCCCTCCGCACACCTCTTGAAATGCTCCCATATGACCGGGCGTCGCACATAGCCTCTCCTGAGGAAGTCCTACTCACTGCCTTCACGTGGCGGAGGTGTTTTTCACCAAAGTGAGAGGGCGAAAGCGGATGCCCGGCGCTCTTCACCGGGTTGACTGTCTATTGGATGACAGTCTAGGGGAGATGGCTAAATCCTGATTCCAAACCTCCAACGACTGGCGTATGAAGCTCACTGGAGCTCACCGGCAGACGTATGGACAAAGGGCTTGTTGGATGTCTGGCCCCATTCAAAAAGGCGTATGAACCGAACTCCGGTCACCGGCTGCCAATGGATAGTGGACTCCCTACTCCACTCCTACTGCCTTGTAGGTCACACTTGGTTGTGTAAAGGCTAGAGCTGCACTCTCAAACAAAAGGCCGAGCGATTCTGGGGACACCACTCGTACCAAATTCCCATGAAACTTCATGAACTCTCTTACAAACGACTCTCACCATGCTACGGCGTTCCCGGTAAGCGACGCGCCCTGTGCTCACACGGTGGCCAGTGTGAAAAGTAAGCCAGCTGGAAAATTAACACTTAGAAACCAACTATTTGTTGGCTGCTGGAATGTTAGGACGCTGTTGGATCCTGGTAGCCAGTCTATCACCATGCGTTCTTTATACGACTACAAGGTGGACATAGCGTGTCTATCTGAAGTGAGGTTACCCGATCATGGCTCCCGCCGAATAGCCGTACCTGGAACAGATTCTTCATTCTGGTTGCTTCATAGTGGACCCCAGAACATGGGGTAGCATTTGCTCTCAGTAACAAAGCCAATAACGCCCTAATATCGTTCGAACCGGTCAACTCCAGAGTTGCAATCACTAGGTTCAAGGGTTCCCCGCTCGACATTTCTGTTCTCGCTGTCTATGCCCCAACCTTCGACTCTGATGAAAGTATCAAAGACGAATTTTATGACAATCTTCAAGAGGCAATCAACAAAATCCCAAAGCGTGACGTTCTCATAGTAGTCGGCGATTGGAACGCCCGCACTGGCCCTTCAGACGACGCGACAAAACATATACTAGGCAAACACGGTCTCGATCAGCGCTGCCGTAATGGTGATAGACTTTTAGCTTTTTCTGATTACAATCGATTATATATCACCAACACTCGATTTCAACACCCTAGAAAACATCTTCTCACCTGGTATTCGAACGACGGTCGCACTGCACATCAGATTGACTACATCCTAGTGCGCGCACGCTGGATCTCCTCGGTGGAGGACTGTCGATCCTATCGTGGCGCAGAGGCCGGAAATAAAGGGGGATCAGACTATACTCTAGTTCGGGCGAAATTCAAACTTCGTTTAACAACACGCCAGAAGGCGCGACCTCCGAAGCGTATCAATGTTGCCCCGCTTCAATGTTCGACAAAGCGACAACCCTTGTCCAAACAAATCCAGGCCGAACTAAGCGCCGCAGATGGGCCAACATCCACATCTTCTAATACACCTGAGACACGATGGAATCATTTCAAAGAAGTAGTCTCTAAAGCTTCAATGTCGCATTTGGGTACCACATCCAACAAGCAGAAAGACTGGATTTCAGAGCACACTATGCATCTATCCTCGCAAGCCAGAGACGCTCGCCTAGCAAAGTCTCTAGTTTATCGCTCCCTCAGGCGCAAAGCTACACAGTCTGCTAGGAATGACAGAAATCGCTATTGGTCTAATGTGGCGACTAACATGGAAGCAGCATCAAATGTAGGCGATTTCGGAAAACTTTATCGCCTCATACGCCTATCATCTGGCAAACGCCTTAACAGCCATGCTGTGTTACGCACAGCATCAGGAGAAATTATTTCGGACACCAATGGTAAGATGGAACGATGGGCCGAACATTTCAAGCAGCTACTCAATCGCAACGCTGGTCAACCGTCTCATCGACCGATACGACACTTACCAACACCCTACGTAGTTGACTGCGATCCACCCACTCCAACCGAAATAGCTAAAACAATTAACAGACTCAGAAACAAAAAAGCTCCGGGCGAAGATGGTCTACCTCTAGAAATATACAAGGCCTGCACTCTAGCGCTAATCGATTCGCTGCACTCGCTGTTCTGCTCAATTTGGGATTCCGAAACCATTCCTTCCGATTGGAGCACCTCAGTTCTGCTACCGTTCCAAAAAAAGGGAGACAGGTCACTATACGAGAACTACCGAGGCATAAGTCTGATTGATATCGCTGCTAAGGTTTTTGTTTCCATTCTCCTGAACCGCTTTGCTGCCGAACGCCACGTGCGAACAAGGCCAAATCAAGCCGGATTTCGACCTGGAAGAGGCTGTGCTGATCAATTATTCACACTGCGAAGAATTTTGGAACACAGGGACAAATTCCAACAGCCGACGGTTGCTTGCTTCATCGACTTCCGAGCGGCATTCGACTCAGTTGATCGAGGAGCACTCTGGTATCTAATGGAGCTCGACGGAGTTCCGACCAAGCTAATCAACCTGCTCAGGTCATACTACTCCAACACCAAAGCTCGAGTCCGAGTGAATGGTGAAGAGTCTCGCACTTTTGAGGTAACCAGCGGTGTCCGGCAAGGTTGTCCAGCATCCCCCATCCTGTTCAATTTCACAATTGATTGGATTTTGCGGCACGCCCTAACCGAGCACCACGGCGTCCAACTTTCGCCCGATATTCACATAAACGACCTCGAATTCGCCGACGACGTCGTGTTATTAGCTGAAAACTTCCCCGATATGCAACAGGCGCTGGATCAGATAAACCACCTCGCGTCTACTATCGGTTTGGAAATTAACACTTCCAAAACCAAAATGCTTTCGAACACATCCACCAGCAATGATGAAATCTTATACCTGAATGGAGCACCTATTGAAATTGTGCCATCCTTCAGATATCTGGGATCCATAATGCTTCCCAACGGTCAAGCGAAAAACGAAGTGAATGCGCGAATCTCCAACGCCCGGAATGCGTTTCTACAGCTGACGAGCGTTCTATGGAGCAAGAGGGAAATCAGTCTCAGGACTAAAATTCGGGTCTACCAAGCCTCCATACGATCCGTTCTCCTGTATGGCTGTGAAACCTGGCCTCTTCGCGCGGAAGATGTACGCAGACTCGAGGTAGTAGACCATTGGTGCCTCAGGTACATTCTGCATGTTCGTTGGCAGGACAAACTCTCCAACGAAGAAGTGCGTCGTCGTTGCTACAACATCAACCAAATTCCAGTACTGGTCCAACAACGTCGCCTTCGGTGGTTTGGCCATGTTCTGCGCCGACCAGATAACGATCTGGTCAAATCAGTTCTAAATCCCTCGCCATTACCATCTTGGCGATGTCGCAGCGGTGGACAGCTGAAAACATGGCTTGGTACAGTCAAGGCTGATATGGAGTGCCTGGGGCTACAAACCGTCTACGGACTCCGTCTGTGGAACAAGAATTGGATAACTTACTTTACTTCGGCTATCTCCTACGGGAGGATGAGCCGGCTTCATGAGCATCTCGAATCATCGCTGCCCAGGCGCGGCGATCTGATGCAAGGTTTTGCGACAGGGTTATCCCATTCTTGTTCCACAGAGTCCGTAGACGGATAACCCTGTCGCAAAACCTTGCATCAGATCGCCGCGCCCGGGCAGCGATGATTCGAGATGTTCATGAAGCCGGCTCATCCTCCCGTAGGAGATAGCCGAAGTAAAGGAAAAGAAGAAAGGAATGGTTGGAGTCGCGCTAAATCACGAATTCATGAGCCATTGAATCGGGTCCCAGTGACTGAATGGTATACAAGCCAGCCTGCCTTGTAACCGGAAGGTCCTGGGTTCGAATCCCAGTTGGTGCGTACTCCTGATGATTCCCAAAACTCGGATGAAACAGCTGTCCAGTACTCCCTGGTTTTCAATGGTTCTCTAACTGATATCAGTTCGTGATCAACTCGTAAAAATAAATGAGGATATCAAAATCAGAATCGGAAAAGCAAGACAGACCTTCATAACTCTGCGTCGGTGGCACAGCGGTTAGGACGCTCGGCGACCATGCACATGGTCCGTGGTTCGATTCCTCAGCCTGCTAAATTTGGGATACCGATATAACATGCAGAAAATTCCATACTTGTATAAAAAAACTGTGTGGAGTCAAGCTATAATCAAATTAAAATCAAATTAAATCAAATTAAGTAACCATTTCGCACTCAGCAAAAAAAGAAAAATTAGGATTTCTAACATCAATGTTAAGTCAGTCAGTTTTTCTATATGAGTCAGAAGATTGCACTGTGTGTCCCGAAAAGGATTTCCAACGGATTGCAGACCTTCATCAACAGCTGCCTTCGCTCTAGAAAGAATTAGCAACAAGAAACTCTGGGGATAAACAAATCAAGAACCTATTGGTTAACAAATATTCCGAAGAAAATGGATATGGATTGAATACACGCTAAGAAGACCGTGAGATTGACATCGCTCGGCGGCATGTTGCAGCTCGAGTGGAACCCAAATGGAAAACAACGAGTCGGGCGTCCGTGGATGACATGAAGGAAGTCGTGAGAGAAGGAGACGAGAGACTATGGGCAATCATGAGGTCAGTTAGAGAGGACCACAGAGAAAGTGGGGATCTGTTACTGTTCTACTCGGGATCCAAGGGAACAATAATATTTGATAATTACAAACCTGTACGCATAGAATAATTTCGAGAAGTTTGCATGAAACAAATTACGCAGTGATTTTGTAGTCCAAGTGTTTAATTACCCACTAGTGAAATTATGCATAAAACACACTGAAATTTATCTCATCTACCAATAACAGTTTTAACAATCAGGTAGAACCACAAGTTATTTGTATATTAGGCATCGTTCATAATTCACAGTGAAAAAGTGGCTATTGTAATAAATACTAAAACGCATTAATACTACTACAATTATTGTTCACCTGTTTGAATGCCTAGCGTAATAATAATAATATAATAATAAAATAATAATAATAATGACGCAGTGAATTCAAACTGCCACATTTTTTTCTCTTGTATTACAAATGCATATGCCAGGAACTAAATCTATAGCATAAATCTATATAAAAACAGTGCGTGCACTAAAATATCGGAATGCATGGCACTAAAATTTACTAAAAACCCATTAGGTGCGCCAGTAGCCTACAAATTACAACACACGCGGTTCAATTTCTAAATGCCTTGGAGTGCTTAACTCCAAATCAATAATTTCATCAACCATATATATATGTATATATATATATATATATATTAAAATACAAATAAGCTGCAGAAATTATGCTAATTTTTACAGGTGCTTAGTATAATGAAATTTTTGTTTTCATTATCTATCTGTTAATGGAGTACTTCTCACCGGTAAATCGTAGGGTGGACGACAACACCATATAAGCAAAGCAATAAATAAATTTATGCGCAAAAACAAGTACAAAAAAGTGTGGATTAACTTACCAATCGAACCTATAAGACGGTTGTTTACTGCATCCTCTAAGACTTTAAAATAATCACTTAAAACAATATCCGGTTCACATGTTAAATTGCGTACATCCAAACTTAACGCATATTCAGAATTACGAAAGTAATCTGAATCAGCATTGACAAAGTTCATAGCTTCTTGAGCCACTGGATTAGAATTTTTCAAAAACAGAAAGAGGTGCACATGATAATATTCAGTTTACAGACTAGTCAAAGTTAAATGAAATTAATCAACAACCAATTTCATTTCTATACCAATTGGTAAAGGGTCACACACCTATTGTGTGATACTACGAGACTGCTCAAACTCCGCTGGGTAGTACAGGATTCAAACTCGTAATTCGATAGTCAAAAGTTGAGCGCCTACACCTAAACCTGTAAGTTACAGACTGTTGGAGTTAGGAGACTAAGTAGAGTTACACGGTGTACAGATAATTTGCCTATGTGCACAGACAACTGCACTGCACAACTGCAGCTTATAAATTGACTTATTGAATAGTCCTATATTGCATTTGATGTCCATCGATATCTGAAAGGCTATTTTTCTCCTACATAAATGATATGGAGGATCGCATCTCCAATAAAACATACAAAACAGCAGTACAATGCTCACCAATCACGCATGTGGTTCGGGGTTCGATCTCCAGCTGACTCACTCCTTCACTTCGCTAAGCCAGCAATAAGACTGGTAAAGAGGGAAAGGTTAGGCATGAGGCTAGCGACCCCATTCGGTAAAAATAAACGCCTCTGCCACCGAAACTTCAAGCCTCTACCTTAAAGCCCTATGCTTCACTGGGAATGTAAAGAAATAAAAAAGTAAGTCTACCATATATTTTGTCATGCTATCCCCTAAATGTGGAAATTAGTGAGTTAATGATTTACTTAACTGACACCGCTTTTCCCAGACTCAAGTGCTAATCCCATTACATCTAATCATCGTCCTAAAGCACAGCTGAGTACTACCACTTGTGAATGCAAAACTAAGTGACTGGAATTCATACATCTCAGCAAAATTTCAGTGTCTCAGTTGAAGCAAACTTATCTTGCTGTAACACACACAGCACCGAAACCCAAAGCTTTCCAGCTTTCTACTATCAGTCTAAAATAACCTGAAGTGGGATGAAAGCTTTATGAGACACTTCATATTTTCAACTGTTAAAACCGATAAAAAAAAGTATTTGATACAATCACTAGAAACAAAGTGATGAATTGAGAAAGAAAAATTGACCGATTACATAAAAATTTTTATCTAATTGTTATTATTATTAGTAGTAGTAGTAGAAGTATTAATGCTATAGAAATAAGTAAAATAAAAAGTACCTGTTCATTTGGTTATTTGTTACATGTTTTTCAGGGTGAGTCATAGTTACATTCACTTCATTATAACAAAAACAAAAACCCAGTAAATTTGTGACCAGTTTTCATTTCACAGACAGTATAAGTCAATGCGACGTTTGGCGTTGTGTGTGTGTGTATGTTTTTTTGTGTGTGACCACAATATGCCATCATCGTCTGCCAATCGACCTGCTATTACGCTAACACTTAATTGGTAAAATCACCTTTATTACTAGAACAAAAAACCCAAACGGTATTTGTATCTGTTCGTCTGTATATCTACATTAAAATACAGTATGCACACATCATCCGATGGATGATGACAGAGACTCATTCACATGTACAACATAGCTGAAGATTTTTCTCGCTAATGTTATTTGTATTATTTGCAACAAATTAGGCGATTACACACGGAAACTTTTTAAAGCTCCATAAATTTGAAAAATATTCATATATATATATATATATATGTATATATATATGTATATATATATGGGAAATCTTTACCATCGAATTGACAAAGGGTAGATCAATGATGTAGTCAAGCGAAGTTCACTTGACATTGCAATAGTTTAACAACCATTTGATTGACATTCACCTGTATCATGATAATGAAATTAACAAAGCACTTAGAGTTATCTACTACATTCCTTATAATAGTAATGTTGCTTTACGAGTTCGTTTTTTTATACATGGTAGAAGTCATTGGAATTCACCAGAAGAGATTCCTACCATCACACTTTCTTTTCCTAGGACACCTTAACATAAATACGAAATCTAAGCATTCCTTCACCGCGACACCCATAAATGCCCACCAATCCTATTTACAGATGTTTGCTATTTTGACAGTAATATTAATGCCTCTGTTTCAAATCCTTATTTATTCTTGTATAGTCGGTCTCAATCATTTGACTTATGCATTTATCCTTTTTGTTCTCCAACAAATAAACTATCCATTGCGCAACCATCTGTTACAATCCTCATAATTATGTCCACGCTTTAATTTGTTTTCCTAATTTTCCTGGACAAATTCAAACTGACGAATTATTATTAACATACTTACCGCCATTAGATTGATAAATTGTGTATCTTACTAAAAGTTATATATATATATATATATATATATATATATTAGTAGAGAACCGCTGACGGCGATCTAACTACCAAGTAAATATTTCTACCCTTAATTAATCGTTTATTTTGCTAGCTTTGATGCAAATCTGCAATATTCTAATAGTGAATAGATCAGCCTTCATACGACAATGAAACAAGTGAAGTTAGACTCATGAACAGTAGCTAATTAGGACTTAAATCAGGATAGATAATGAGAGAAAGAGCCTTATTCAGAATATAAGGGTAACTAATCTTTGAAAAAAAAGATAACTAACCTCGATCAAGGCCATACAGCACCCATTTTCCATACATACTGAACAAACCTGCCACCGTTAAATTCAGTTTTTTATCCCAGTCAACTGTCCAACTTTTCCATTTAGTTGGATTTTGGCGAAGCCAACGACATGCAACTTGTTTATATACTGATTGACGAGGTGTACTTGAATCAAGCATAGCCTAAATATACAACGCAACAATAATGCTTAATTTTAATTCAAACCATGCAACACGTATAATGCTACACAACTAAGAGAGTTAGAAATCAGTAGCCGCAATATTAAATGCATATTAGCATTGAATGAAACTCAATATAAGAATATAAATCTTAGTTACAAACATATAACGAATTCTTAGTCATTTTTCAAAGCTTTTTAAGTCTGTCAAAAAGATAACTGTGGAAGGGTACAAAAACATACCTACATAGAAGTTGAAACAAAGACCTGAGTAACACTTTGAAATCGAGTTAAGGCTAAGATGGACTTAGTAACTGGGTATGCATAGATCAGTTAACATTCTGGGAGTGGACTGACACGAGTCCCCAGATAATTCACAATCTTAGCACACTTGTAAATACTTTCCAGATCCATTATACAGATCAAAAATGGAATTTGTGAAGCGAAATATTATCCAATGATAACATGAAACTGACAGTCGAAAATAACTAACTGTACCACAGTACATTTTCAAGGCGATGACATTAGCTACACAAGGTGAATAGTTCAAATTCTAAATAATGCTGCATGCCAAGTAATCCCACACCGGGAAACTCACAGAATCCTTCGAAGTGAAGACGGAATTAAGACAAGTTGGCTGTCTACTATCTCCAATGATTTCCCTGATAGCGGCAGAGCGAGTAATGCGACAGACGGTGGGTAACGAGGAGACAGGCACAAAATGGACTCGCACAGATAACTTGGAGGATATGGATTTCGCCAATGATATATGTCTGATTTCCCACAAACTGGAAGATATGCAAGTGAAAAGCAACAAGTTGGCAAAAGAAGCATCAAAGATAGGCCTTCAGGTGAAAACAGAGGTGAAGATTCCTGACCAACAGCAACAACAGGCAACAATTAGCATAAATAGGAGAAATCTGAAAGCAACTTCCCCTACCTACCTACTGACCTGGGAAGCATCGTCTCAACTACAGGCGTAACTAACGAGGATATCAAAGCGAGGATCGGGAAAGCAAGGCAAGCTCCCATTTCTCTCAAGACTGTGTAGAGAACAACAGCACTCAGTATGAAAAATAAGTTCCGGATTTCTGACTCCAATGTGAAGTCAGTGCTACTATACTGATCAGAGACTTGGCGCGTCACGAAGGGTACCTCTAACAAACTACAGACCTTCATCAGACCCTGAACAGCTGTCTTCGCTCAATACTCAAGATCAGACGGCCAGAACAGATCAACAACAGGGATATCTGTGAGTGAACCAACCATGAACCGATTGTGCAACAAATATGGGGGAAGAAATGGAGATGGATTGGCTATACTTTGAGAAAACCATCGAGTGACATCACACGTCAGACCATTGCTCGAGTGAAACCCGAATGGGAAGCGGCGAATTGGTCGTCAGTGCGAGGGTGACATGGAAGAGGTCATGCGAAGAGGAGATGAAAGCATGGGGGCAGATGTGGGACCAGGCGAAAACGTTGGCGGAGAACCGAATGCAGTGAGGACGTGCAGCTGAAACCCTATGTTCCTCTAGGAACTAAAGGAGACAATAATAATATAATAATAGTTTTGTTACTCTCCAAATTCTCTCCCGCAGATTTTTTAAAAATCACCTTCAGTGTTACTGCTTTAGAAAACTGTTAATAGTTAGTTTTCCTATTTGATGTGTAAATATGACACAAGAGTTGTAAAGTCATGCAATATTAAGGATAGTGAGTGACAAAATAATATACGGACATAAATTGTACTGTATGCTCACTGATTATGACAGAGCATTGACTAGATAATTAAAGTATATTCTGTGTATACCTTTAACTATTACTGAGTCACATAAAATACTTCATTATAATTACTTTGCTTAGTTTCGTATCATATCTAATCCACTTTTCTGTTGTTACCCAGAAAATTAACCGCAAATTAAATATTTTGATTAAGGACATTTTCAACTTTAAATCCTTCAATCCAATTCCCTTGTTTGCTTTCATATTTGTGTTATCGTTTCTCTAACATGCATTCGTTCATCAGTATAATATACAGTTGGCAAACACGTGTTTATACACTGGAATATTACAACTGCGAATAATTATAAAGTGATTATTCTCTTCTAATTGTTTCTCATCTTTTTGGAATGCATACAATAAATAGATAACGGGGAGTACTAAAGAGCCAAAAAAGTGTAGAGAACAAACACTTACTGTTCTTTAAAGCCAGAATGAAAATAATGCTTATGCAATGAACACGAATGACCCTAATTGTGAGAAGTATATTAGGGATTTTCGTCTAACAGTGCACATACCAGTGACACTATCGGAGATCAAACCCAAGGACTTTCAAATCACGAGAAGAAACCATTGACAAGCATTCAGTCCAGTTTACTGGCCGATCGCAATTTAGAAAAAAAGAGGGAGGATTGAGTGCGAGGCTAGAGACCCCACTTCGTAAAAACAACACTACTGCAACTGAAATTTAAAAACTTCGAACTCTATGTTCTATTCGGAACACAGAGAAACGAGGAAACAGGATTTAAGAGGTTTTGCTGACTTAACAATGATAATAAGCCCACCTCGAAGTTCGAGTTTTCTTTTCAATTTAGGAAGAGCCTTAATATGTCTTTTTGATAACGTTTTTTCATGAAGTTGAACTTTTGTGTCCTTTAATTTTTGCAAGTGATTTTGATAAATTATTTCTAGACGTTTTTCAACAGATTTAATAGATAAAAAACGCAACTGTCAAAAATTCTGTTCAGAAACAATAAAAAAGTATAAAATCACCATCATATTAATAATAATGTGGTTGATTTATTATTCAGAAATACTGGCATAATGAATTACTAAAAAAGACTGGAAGAAAAACATACTGAGTGAACTAATTCTATCAGATCATCGTGTGACATATAAATTTTTGATGCAAGCTGAAAGATTTGTGGAGTCGCAGTCTGTAGTTTTGTCCAAGCCACTTTAACAGCCTGATAGGATTCTGTATGACAATATTCATCATTTGTTGAGGTAGATTGTGTATCAACACGGCATAACGGAGGTGGAGGAACACTATGCGAATTATATCGTAGACATGTGGAATTCAGTTCAAAATCTAAAATAGTAATAGACCTCTCAGAGAGTATTGTATGATTGTGGAATACATTTGAATTCTGTGTAGTTTTCCTTTGATGGTCTGAAAAGTATTGTGGAGAAACAAAAAGTGAACTTCATCAGAGAAGTATTGAAAAAATTCAATGACGCTAGTCTAAAATAATTTCGTTAGGAAATTATTAATTAGCAAGGAAGAATCACTGAAATGGAATCGAGAATTACGTGATATAAAGCACGACTGATGACATAGATTATCTTAATAACTAGTAGTGTAGCTTAGAGTTCTACTAAATGCCTGAAACCCAATGGTTATGCTTTTTGACACTTTCTAGGATTGATGCAATAAGATTCATAGACTAGGACAACTGCAATTTAATTTAGTGAAAACATTCATTTAGACATTTACAAAAAACAAAAAAAAATTGAGCAGAGAATATCCGTTACGATAATTTCCTCTTCTGGCTCTACAATTATATATATATATATATATATATATATATATATAGAATATTCTAGAATAATCGTAATTACCAATATTGTTTTTAAACACTACCGATTAGTTAAGTAAGATGAATGGAATTACAGTTCACTAGAGATACATAAATTATAATAAGCATAAAATAAATCTCCACAACAAATTAAGGATCACTAAAACTTTGATGGCTAAGGTAAGGATAGAGTCCGAACCAACTTCTTTGGGTTTCTTAATATGGATCCCAACGGCCTCAGCAATATGCAGTAGACGAACTCTTGAGGTATAGTTAAGATTAGTTGATATGCGGTAGATGACTTTGGAAGCCTCGTGATCATCAATATTGTGTTCTGTATCCACAAGATGACATAGAATAGCGCTAAGAATGGGTTTTGTTTGTCCTTTACTTAACCACGCAGGGTGATGTTCGTTAATCCAACGAGAAACACGCCTAATTGTACGACCTGTGTAACTGGCTCCACAGGAGCAGTCAAATCGGTAGATACACATAGAAGAGGCGAAATTAAGCAGTTTATCTTTCACTCGTGAACTCAAAGTAGGAATAATTATAAAGACATAGCATAATTCAACAGCATTGAATGCCCTTTTTACTGCATTCTTTAGGCGTTGTGTTAATATTTCACTGATGATATCCCCGTGGAAAAGAATAAAGCCTTTTTCGGAACTGTAGGTACCTTGGTCTGTCATGATTTTTGATTCACATTCTTATCGATGAATTTAGATTCAAAAGAATTGAGATCACAGTTTAACAAGACCTAACAAAATAATAATAATGGTGAGAAAACTATCGACGAGGGTCAATAATTCATACCCAAGGACTTTATAAGCGACAATTTACAGGTTTACAAAAGCACTGGTACTTCAGAAAGTCTAATCATTACTAAACGAAGGGACAGAACCGACATACCTGGTTAAAGATTCTAATCTGTATGACAAAAGACAACTTTAACTTCTATGCAGATATGACTTATCGGTTAAAGCCCGTGGCTCACTCATTCGACTGCTACTCCACCTACTTCAGCCTGGTACCACCACCAGCTTTCACGCAATGTGTGGGTCAAAGTCTAGTTCATGAGTAACTTGACTTTAACATATTAAAATTAACAAATCAAATTACTCAGTACTTACATAAATTCCGTTTTGCTTTCGATTCTGTTACCTACATGATCTACTACACTTATTCGTATATTTAATGATGGTATTTCAAGATTATCCCTCACTACAGGAAGACAGTTATTAGGTATTTTTAAACGTGATAGAATCGACTATGCTAATGTAATTTTTTTTAATCCTTAACAAAGTTTTTTTAAATAAAATATACTTCCATACGTGCTCACCATGATCAAATGAATTGCAATCATACTTGAAAGAAGAAGCATATTCCGAAATTCCTTTGCGATGTGATTTACTGTAACATGACTGGAAAACACAAGTAAAATAGTAACAAACAAGTAAATTATCACAAGAAAATTAAATGAGTTCATGAATAGTGGAACTGCACAACTTAATCATAGTGACTACCAGGCAACTTATATCCGAATTAATGAATTTAGAGCCTATGCTAAACTTTTTAGGTCTATTTTTAGTGGGTACTTCCATATTTCATGAGACCAAGATTATGCAGTTACCAGTCAAATTGGGGGAATTAATAAGTTACTATAGGACTAAAACTCACTTATTTTGAACAACTTAAATAACTTGATTGATTGATTTACTTCGGCTATCTCCTACGGGAGGATGAGCCGGCTTCATGAACATCTCAAGTCATCGCTGCCCAGGCGCGGCGATCTGATGCAAGGTTTTGCGAGAGGGTTATCCAATTCTTTTTCCACAGACGGAGTCCGTAGACGGTTTGTAGCCCCAGGCGCTCCATATCAGCCTTGACTGTACCAAGCCATGTTTTCAGCTGTCCACCGCTGCGACATCGCCAAGATGGTAATGGCGAGGGATTTAGAACTGATTTGACCAGATCGTCATCTGGTAACGTTTGTAAGAGAGTTCATGAAGTTTCATGGGAATTTGGTACGAGTGATGTCCCCAGAATCGCTCGGCCTTTTGTTTAAGAGTGCAGCTCTAGCCTTTACACAACCAAGTGTGACCTACAAGGCAGTAGGAGTGGAGTAGGGAGTCCACTATCCATTGGCAGCCGGTGACCAAAGTTCGGTTCATACGCCTTTTTGAATGGGGCCAGACATCCAACAAGCCCTTTGTCCATACGTCTGCCGGTGAGCTCCAGTGAGCTTCATACGCCAGTCGTTGGAGGTTTGGAATCAGGATTTAGCCATCTCCCCTAGACTGTCATCCAATAGACAGTCAACCCGGTGAAGAGCTCCGGGCATCCGCTTTCGCCCTCTCACTTTGGTGGAAAACACCTCCGCCACGTGAAGGCAGTGAGTAGGACTTCCTCAGGAGAGGCTATGTGCGACGCCCGGTCATATGGGAGCATTTCAAGAGGTGTGCGGAGGGGTGGCCAACCCGCAGCGCAAGGCACACACCCCCCGACCATCCTGAGGCTTTGGATGTAGCCGAGCAGAGGCTACAAAAATCCGAACCTGTTCAAATAAGTAAAAGCCTTCTAGAGATATTTCTAAATTCATCAGCATAATAAACCACTAAGGGAAAAATGAACTGAAAGTAATTACTAAACTTCGATAAAGCATGAAAGAATAAATTTTGTCTTCTCCAGATCCTTTCTTCTATTTTTAACGGCTTATAGATTGATGATGACTTGAAGTAAAAATTGCAATGCCTACATTTCGAACGCCTAAATTCATGACACTTTCTCTGCTATCATATTTACATTAACCTGATTTTCATTGTCTCATAACCACTGTAATTTCAGGTAATCTGCAGATGATGAGAACTTGTGAAATAAAATGAAGTCACTTTTTAGTTCGAATTCGTTCTTTCTTTCTTCTAATTTATCAAGGTAACTTGCATTTAGTTTTAAAGCTTTCATGTTCAATGTTATTCGACACAAGCCGTGAACAACAAAATTCTGTATATAAGCACTTACTTGTGTGAACAGTCTCCAGGGACGGATAGGTCCAAGAGGTCCATGGTCAGTGATAGATGAAGGCTGAGTCCAGAATTTAACATCCCCACCAAGTGGCAACCATAGCATTAAGTTGAGGTGTATTTCAGGTAGTTGAATGCATCTAAAATTAAATGTAAGTGATTTGATGCAAATGTCTAGATCTAATAAATCTATGCATGTTGCTTAAAATCTAAGGAACTTTACATGTTAGATAATATACGGAATATAGGAAGATTATAACTGTAACCACACAGTTTGATTCTGAAAGTTATTCCTGTAAAATTGTTACACTTTTTTCCATTTAACGTAAAAGTGTAGACGATACTTACAAATATGTATCACTCCACATATATTAACCTTCAAATAAGCATGACTAAGGTAACGTAAAGTGTAAAAGAAGATAAGTAATTTTAAATTTGATAGAGCCCAACCAGGATACTTAGAATTTGCTGATGTTGGTGGACATAGTGAGTGGTCTAAGTTTCTACCTCACTGAAGGACTTATTAACTGCATTTCCATTTATTATTCAATCAGAATTTACAACCCAGACAATTATACAACTGGATAAGTTCTGACCACTTAAGGTTAATCGAAAAATGAGTAGTTTACGTTTATATACGTTCACAGTTGAGTAAAATTACTTGCTGTAGTGGTAATGGGACACATAATGCAAATAACCTGAAGTTACTTCGAAACGACATACTAATCAAGAGTATATTAGAAAGCGAAAGGTGAACATAAGGAAACTTGCAATACTACACTACGAACATGGTAATTCTTATTATTAAGGTCCGAATACATAATAAACTGACAGAAATCATACCTAATTGTATCGACTTGAAGTTGAACAGACTTCTTTGGGATTCAGACGACCACCAGGATCTTTGTTGCTGCTATTCACCAGCTGAATATCCGTCATCCCCAGCTCCACCCTTCACTTTTAGTTGCATGAAACTTGGCAATGTTTATACTGGCTGTCAGGATTTTGTTTCATAAATCTTGCCCTATGGCACTATAAGCCATATGTCTACCTAACGTTAAATCCTAAGCTACAAAGATTTGAGTATTCCAGCGGTTGCTAATCCAAGAGAACCTTTTAACTTAAGTATCATACCATGTAACATCTTTCCTTCTTCAGACCAGCTCGACAGGAACTAAATAGGAAACAACAGTTTACAAAAACTATACATTCTTACGCTACTGGAGCTGGTATTTCGAAGCCACGATCTGTGCAATCACAGCAACTTGCGGAAACGTTACATAGCTTTTCTAAGTTAGAAATAGAACTCAGTTTTATCATATATTTATTACTAATTCAGTCTTTTAGCAACTTACGGGTGATACACAACGCCATTTCAGTAAGTTGTATTAAACCTCCAGTAAAGTATTCAAGTGTACGCTGCATGGTTCTACAAAACATATATTCATATGGATATGAATAACTGATGTGTGGTGTGAAGATCATGAGATATTTTCAACTAAATGAATAATATGGGGGATTTTAGTACTCAACAATTGTAAAGTGTTATTGGTTATCTCATTTGTCAGGCATTACATTTTCCTGAAATTTTGGCAAGTGACTCATGGCGTTTCTGCCGAGCTGTGTTTGGTCACACGAAAGGCGTAATGATTTCAAATTCAAGATATCCAGAATTCTTTTGTTTAGAAAGGTAGGTTTTGGTGCCGAAGACAAAATTTTCTTAAAAACTATTGTAAAAATCCACCGATTATGACTAAAGATGCTGCGGAAGAATGATTTCAACCGTTAGTGTATTTCTTTGTAAACAATTATATGCAGTCAAATAAACTATTTACAAAAAATCAAACATGCAACTAGTTGAAAATATGAGTATAACCAGCTCCAGTGAGGGTGAATTAGATAAATAGAAATACAAGTTGCTGTAAATGCTACAAAAGTATCTCCCTCTACAAAACAACAGTCTATTATTGTTACCGAAAATAGCTGGAGTATTTAAAAGAAAGATTCTATCAACTAGATGTGATGACAAGCAACTACGGGTTATTTAACTTACTGAGAATCTGGACACTGCAATCTCTTAAGAGCACTTCCAATGTCTCTATCATCCGTCCGTATAAACTCAATTTTTGTGTAACCCAGTCGTTCTCGAGCCAGAATCTCAAACAAATAGTTTATAATCCAATGTTCCGGATTATCGGTAACTTCCAGTTTGAATGTCAACACCTTATTATTATAACTGAACGTTCTGTTCCATTTGAGCCTTTCTAAATATTGCTAAAAAACATTGTTCTAAAGCACTTACCAGAAAGTCCAAAACACCCATCACCACTGGATGAGCAAGAAATTTTTGTAACGATACAGAGGAAGAGTATTACTAACAAAAGTCGTGGATACATCTATCGCACACAAGAACTCATTCATAAGCATATGACAGAACCACGAAATCCAGTCTTAAATAAGAGGAGAGGCAAACCAGTTAGGCCATGGACATTAAAACAGTAGTTAAAACCCTGAATTCAAGTAAATATGTACGTATAGAATGGCAATAACCGCCGCCATCACGTGACTCAGGGTCACGTAACGCATTAAGTGAAATACGCGGAATGGTATCCAACTTTACTTCAATTCCTAATACATACATACAAATATTGGAGACTAAGTCACCCAGGATACCAAAAGGCTTCGGAGTTAAATGAAAAAATAGATAACTATGACTGTTAACTAATTTTTCTCTTTTCAAAAGAATAGACACTGAACAAAGAGAACTCTTTTCGATAAATTCATCATCAGGTTCTACAATTATATATACATTATAATGAATGGATGAATTAGTCTTATGAACGACATTAATGTTTAAATAACATCAAATCAATAATATTGATAAATTACAGCTGAACAGCATCAACATAAAATAAACTGAATGTCAGAAGAGTTAGGAAAGGAAAGGGTACAAATTCATGAGTTTATAGTCTCTACTGAGGGCCAGGGCAGTAGTAGGGGCTGGACTTGTTTCTTTTGGACACAGAGCGCTGGTTGTTTGAGGCGAATTGCAATAGCCTCTGCTGTTTGGAGTAAGCGGTGCTTCGAGGATTTTGGTAGTTTGTTGGGCACCCGGTATATTATGGAGAAGGATTCGTCTACGCTGGCTTTGTGACCGGTTTGCACCAGATGGTCTAATATCGAGCTGTTAATACTTTTAACTACACCTTTGCTTAGCCATAGTGGGATATGTTCTCGAGCACGAAAAATCAAGTTCCTAGAGCAACAGCCAACATAACTCGCTCCACAAGCGCAGTTGAATTGATAAATACAATTTGAAGTGGCCAGTCTAGGTACTTCATCTTTCAGTCGAGGTAGCACCATCGGTCTTGTAGAGAATAAGATGTGTAGTTCGCCAGCATTAAAAGTCCTTTGAACTGCTTTTCTTAATTTCTTTGTAATTAACTCACTTGGTTTATCGCCCTTGAATTGTAGTCGTATATAAAGGGGCTTCTTCTTTACAGATAGTGGGTAGTCCTTTTCGGCCTTCTTCGTCATATGTTTCTTGATAAACTTGTCAGGATAACCATTTTCAATTAAAGTATCATATACAATGTCTAATTCATCTTTAATTACTTCCTCAGAGCATATAGCTCTAACTCTGTGGCTAAGGGTCTTCACCAAATTCCTTTTGTATTTGATGGGAACGAAGCTATGAAAGTGTGTATATTGTCCCGTCCAAGTACTTTTTCTATGTAAATTTCTTTTTATGCTTCCGTCTGGTTTTCTTTTCCCTTCTCAATTGTCGTGATATCCAGTAATCGTCTAGACATAATGGCGAACTCACATTGGGAAACAACTCCACAAGTTTGTTGAAACATACCTCTTGTGTCACTAGATTTTCTGTTGTGAGACACAGTTCACTCCAAAATAGTGACAGGTGATTCCTGAACATTCTATAGTTGGTTTGTAAGAACTAGTTTTGTTTTTACGAGTTGATCACGGATTGATATCAGTCAGAGAACCATTGAGAAACAGGGAATGCTGGACAGCTGTTTCACTCTAGTTTAAGAGTCATCGGCTGTACAAATTAACTGGTGCTCGAACCCAGGACATTCCGGTTATAAGGCAGGCTGGCTTGTATACCATTCAGTCACTAAAACCCGATTCAATGGCCCATGGATTCTAACTTCCACTAATTCGTGATTTAGCGCGACTTTAACCAATATCGTTGGTGTGACATCCATCCTCACACTTGATTGGATGCATCTCACTGGTCACGACTTCTCACTTGAACTCCCGAATCCACACAGTCGAGACTGGGTCTCTGAGTGATGCGTTTAATGCTGTCTGAAAGAGCTGTACAGATATTCCAACGAGTCAGATTATTTGAAAATTTTAGAAATTAATGGGTTTAATGCAGGCAGAGCAATGAGCATGATTTATTTTCTTGAATAAATAGATTCCTCATAAATACCTAACTGGCTGGCATCTTCAGAGTTTAAAATGTGGATTTTTTTCGCGAACGCATCTCATTGCATTTTGGAGTGATAGCTGTTGCGTAGATTTTAACCCCCAAACTAAGTCAGAGTAGAACCCAGAAAACAAGTATATTATTTCAAGTCACCTCATTTCTAGGTGAATAAGTATTAAGGGAGACGAATAGTGATACGACGGTGCGGCTGAGAGAAGACCTAGTTGAAAACTAGGAAAGTCTTTCAGCATTTGATACATGAAAAGCGGATAATATATTTGCGTTCTGCGAAAGATTTTGCCACTTTTTATTGTTTTCACCATAGAGACTGGATTCAAGCAACTGCAAACCCGTCAGTGTAGTTTTTCTCCGTAGATAACAACTTTCATCTAGGTTAACTGTTATATATCACGTTACTCCGCCTCGCGTAAGCAATATCTTCCTATATAATTCTCAGGCGACCGTAGAGTGGGGGCGAATCTGACCACTGAATGGTGCACAGACTGTTTAATGATCACCCAGGTGTCTCTAAAGTGTTGAAGATGGCAAATGTCAAAGGATCCCCATCAAGCCTTTATAATCCATTTTGAGAGTCCGGCAAACCTTGGCGTTATTTTAAATTTGAAAAAACCAAGTGAGCTACACATGTTCTTAGACTTTCACCGGGAGGTATTTAGAGGACTAAATTTCGTCAGCTTGCTTTTTTAAATGAACCTGTATCGTGTGCGCAAAATAAAATACAAACCCTTTTCTCTGCGTTGATTAAGTTTGCCGAAGAGCGAGATAAGTAGGAACGATGGAACTGAGCTTCATTGCTGGTTCCTATTACATCCGATGGCAACCCTGTATAAGCTCCATAGGACACCATGAACTGCAGGAAATATCTATTACTTAGGACTTCATAACACTTTAGGAGTCCTAGTGATCTGCCACAGATATTTACATGTGGTTCAGCCCTTAGTCAGATAGTAAGGAATCCTAATGGTATAGGAAGCCGGATGAAGAAATACTCTTAAGGCTCGATCCGACTTTTTGGCAGCCTTTCCTGTGGTGTTGTTAATGTTCCAACATTCACGGGAATAATTTCATCTTATGATGGCTGCCTACAAATGATACCTTGCTCATCGGTGAGTGGAACCTGATGTCTCTATCATCTGGTTTAACTCCTGTCAGCCGAAACCTCTAGCAGCCACTGTGGATACTTTAGGTTCTCGTTATGTTTATCGCCTATCAGTGCAAGTATACCTTTTCCTTTCAGTGCCAATCAAGTAGCAGCAACACACAAGCGTTTAGTTGGGAATCATCGGTCACATGCACGAAAGTTCCCACATCATGCTGAATATATTAACAGGTTCCTCATGCAACGTTCAGATTTTATCTTTGTTAACTCCTTCTTAAATGCATATCTGACGTCTTTATCATCAAGATTACACACAAGACTTGACAACATTGCACCTGCTTGGTTCGCTCGGTCGTGCACCTCAACTTATACTGGCTTATTATTGGTTGGTGTTCACTCAAGTGTTTCAGTATGAGTGCGAGCTTTCCTCCCACCCGACTGAAAGCGACCCCGACAAAATAATAAGACAGCACCTAGTATTTATAGCCAGATTCCAGCAAAATATTGTTAGAATCTGAGTGCAGAGCTTTTCTTCATGGGTAGGCTAACTTCATGCATCTTAATAGATGATACTGGGTAATGTTCTGCGTGATTCACCATATTTGTCTCGTTGATAGCTCTGGTGGCTACTATTTCATAAAGCTACTTACTCAGCTCCTATATGAAGTGTTGAGAAAACATTGTCTCTGTTGACAATTAAAGCACCTAAGAGCAATTCAAACGAAAGAAGCTTAATGAAGTTGAACATCAGCAATGCGTTTAAGGAAGTAATAGGACTTAAGAGTTTTCAAACTTGAATCGCAATAAAGGAAGTTTAAAATATCTTACAGAAGTTAACTGTTCTATGGGTTCATTTACTTCTGGTTGGTAATCACATTTCAAACTTTCAAACAGTGTATACCGAATAAAGATGAATAACATTCTGCGACATGCTTATGTGCGGCTTGTGTTCACATTCAGAATGGGAAAAAGTCACTGTTCATGCTTAGTCTGCTAGATCTAGCATAGCAGGAGTTCATATAGTGTTTCAGAACGACAGATTCATGTATCCATGGTTGAACATAATACGTGATGGCTGTATTCACGAATATTTAATGGCAAATGTTAACTGTCGTAGACTTAATGAATTCCGGTTACTATTTGTAAACACTATGATGGCAGTGGGATCGTACAGTGGACGAGTTATGAAGCAGGTAACCTTGAGAAAGGCATCAAGAAAGAGAATTTAAAATTATGCAAATCAAAAGAAACGACGCCAAATTTTGAACTACTAACAATGAGACTGCGGACGGTGGCTTGAAGTCTGCGAAAATCTCCAAACTGCTACACCTAAACAAATAGACAGGGAAGTCAAGATTGATAACTTCATTTTGAGTGAAAAGCGAAATTTGTCACAGATCCTCAGAGGCGGCATATTTCGACACAAATAGAGGTAAGTAAGCATAGATATTTTTACTTGTTACACTCTCAAATCATCAATTGTTAGCCACCGACACATTTGGAGAAAGCCAGCTGGCAATGTCAGCATTAAGCAGAGAAGAAAAACGCATTGGTGGGACAATGATAAACTTAAACATGTTGTGAGGCAAACATCGGATATCAAAACTTTCGGGAATAACTTCGCAAAAAGACTACGACGCTAGTGTCGTAGAGTGATCAAACCCTACACGAGATGTAATTAACTAATTCTGAGCATCGAACAAGTTGTAGTACACATGAGGATATTCATCCATGTGTTGATCATGATGACAAGCAAATCACGACCTATACAGCGTCAATAAACCTGGATATCTAAGAAGTAATAAAAATATGCTGACAGATGCATTTCAAATCCCACTGACTCATTCGATGGAAATATTCTGCTCCTGCATGCCTCATTCAAATTTTGTGTGTATTTTTTCGCAGTCATTCTGGTTTCAGACCGAAAAGAATCAAAAATCCACTGGTTGCTGAATCAATAATAATTCTCTGTATTTTTAACAGGATACTAACTACTGTGGTGAGCCTCTTGCAGATTAT